CGGGTGGGATGGAAGCGACTTTTAAGTCAGGCCTCTGCTAAAGTGCTTCTGACTAGGAGATGGGTGGCCTCTGAGGCTCCCTTGCCTCTGCCCTGCAGCCCGGTAGGCTCGGCCCAGCCAGGTCCCAGAGGAGCAGGCTCACTCGCCTGGCCGGTGCATTTGGCTGTGAGCACCGCCAGGGGGCGCCACGCGCACAGTTCCAGCGGGTGGGAGCTGAGCCGGCCTGGGTGCCAGGTAGCGTGGGAGGCCTGGCAGGGCTGTGGACTGCGGGTTGGTGTTCATCGAGGGTAGGGGTGAAAAAAGTGCTCTGCTGTGAGTGTGAACTTTGTTTTGAACCAGGGATCGAACTCGGGACATTGCGCTTGCGAGGCAGGCGGCGGAACCACTGAGCTAAATCCCCAGCCCAAGTGTGAACATTTTTCGCCTGTTCATGTTTGAAACAGTGCAGCAGCCCTGCCCTTTATTCTGCTGCCCTCTCTGCTTGGCTTGGGTCCCCCGCAACTGACACCCTAGCTAGCAAGCTGCCAGTCATCCCAGCGCCCCGATTCCTGAGCCTCACCCCCTCGGCCACAGGCTGCCTTCTCTGGACTGCGAAGCCCCGGGGCTGGTGTTCGGGGTGCTCTCAAGGTCGGCTGTGGGGTCTTTCTAGGGTGTCGCTGAGATGGTCCCGTGTCAAGCCCCGCCACGCAGGTGACAGTGCTCAGGGCACAGGGGCGCCAGGAGCTCAGTGGTGCAGGGAGGCCCGGCGGGGTGGAGGTTTGGGCCCAGGAAGGCGGCCGCGCACCGCACGTGGGCCCACACACTCAGGGTGGCCTTGGGCCCCTCTGCAGGGGCTTCAGGCCTCACCCCCACCATTAGCTCCCCCTTCCCCAGCCAGCGCCCCGCTGTCCTACCCTCCATCAGCACAGGGCGGGCTGGGAGGGGGCCCTGGCCCTACACATGGACACACGCGGGGCCTCTGCTCTCCCCGGGGTCGCATGTCTGAAAACACCCTCGGGTCCTTGGGGTTGTTTTTGTGTCTCCATTGCTGCTGCCGTGACCTCTGGGTCCCCGGGGTGTGAACGCGGCCCTGCCCCCCGCCCTTCCCAGACCCCGGTGTGCGGCGGGGGTTGGCGCACTGTTTTGTCCAGACTGCCTGCCAGTGGCCTGCGCTGGGCACTGTGTCATCTGCTGGCTGACGGCCACACGCGTGTTACCCTGTGCGACCCCGAATGCCAGTGTGGCACGGGGCACTTTGAGGCCCTTCCCCTGGGCGTGAGTGGGTGTGCATGGGCGTGTTAGGGAGCGTGGCATCAGTGTGTGCCTCACACTCTTGGAGGCCCGCTGGACTGGCACACCTGGCCCAGCGTGGAGGTGGCGCGTCCACCTCCGCTGTGTAAACAAAGCCCCTGCCTCCGTTTCCCTCCGGCAGTGAGTGCGACCACCAGCCCGTGTGAGGTCGCAGGGTTGTGAGACTGAGAGGGGATGTGAGTCGAAGGGCGTGAGGGTGTGTGGGGCAGCAGCTGAAGCGCGGTCCCGGCCACGCCAGTCCCCACAGGCAGGTCGGGGCTCTGGCCAGGGAAGCCTGGCTCTCAGCGCCCTGCCCGCATCCAGCCCCTTGGGCCTCCCTCGGGACAGCCTCGTAATTGCGGGGGCCAAATGCCGTGGTGGGGACCAGGAGCGTGGCGCTGACCACCGGCTGAGCCAGAGGGGCCCGGGGTCGGGTCGCAGCCTGCAGAGCGGTCCGCCCCGGCTCGGCTCGGGCTTTCTCGGCTGAGCCCCCATCCTGCTTGGGCCTCCTGTGTCAGCGCCGCCCTTCCCACCTGTAAGGGCTGCAGCCCGGGCCTGACCAGCTCCTGTCGTGTCCCTAACCCTGCTGGGCCCGGCTCCCGGTGCCAGCTCGGTCCCCCTCAGAGCCCGGTCAGCACCACACCCAGTGCTCACCGGCCCCGAGCTGCGCACCAGCCCGGAGCAGCTCCCGGCTTCCCCAGCGGGACAGGGCGAGAGCAGGGAGGGAGATGCGGGAGCCTCGCCGGGCGGGCGGTGTGGACAGGCCGGGCTACTCCCAGCCGAGCGGCTAGGGCTGGGAGAGGAAAGGAAAGGAGCGGGGCAGGAGCAATTCCGGAGCAGAGAGGGAGCAGACCGGCCCAGCAGCCAGCACTCCGCTCCCCGAGCCGAGCGGAGCCAAGCCGACGCCGCCGCGCTCGCCCTGCCCTGGGGCCCCAGAGCCTGTCGGGCTGGGCGCACCCCCGACGGCCCGCCCGCTGCTGCCACCTGGTGGCCGTGGCGCGGGCCTGCGGGTCCTGCTGCCCGCTCGCCTCTCCCGCAAGCCCAGACCTGGGTGGGCGTTTGTCGTGTCGGTTGCTCTTCACCCCGGGAGGCCAGCACGGAAGGCTGAGTTCCGGAGACTGACCCGGAGGACCCCAGCGGGTGGGCAGCTGAGGCGGAGCGAGGCCAGAGGCCCGGAGCCGCTCCTAGGCCCCAGGTGCCTCTCCCGGCCTGGCCTGACCTCGCCTCGGCCGGAGCTGGGGGGCCGTGTGGTCGGATCCCGGGGGCCCGGCCAGGTGGGGCAGACACTCGGGCTCCACCCCCACCCCCCACCCCCGCTGTCTGGCTAGGTCCTGCGCCCTAGGGCCTGGGTCTCCTCTCTTCCTCCCACCGCCCTGGCTCTGGGCCCTGTCGCTGCGTCCTCGGCCTCCTGCACTGCCGTGGCCAGGACACCTTGGGCTGTGCGGAGCTTCGGGTCGCAGGCTTGGGGTCACCGGCATCTGTCTCTCTCCCCAGTGCCCCTACCTCTGGGCACTAAAGCTCCGCCCGAGGGGCTCCCCAGCAGGACGGCTTCAGGGAAATGGGATGGGACCCTGGGGGCCCTGGTCCTTCCTCCTCACCCCAGCTGGAGGGGTTAAGAGGTTTCAAGTGTCAGCTGTGAATTCCCGGCAGATGCCTCCTGAGGTATCACAGGATGACAGGAGGAAGGACCCAGCCTCAAGGCCCAAGTTGCAGTCCTGGCCCTGCCACCGACCCCTGGCTGGCTGTGGGTGTCATGTCTACTGAGCCTGTTGTCCCATCTGTAAGTCAGGGGTTCAGATCAGTTCACAGCACAGCTGAAAAACTCCAAGTGGCAGGGGAGGAGTGGTGACAGGCAGCAGGATTTGTGGGAAAGGATTCCAGCCCCAGCCAGACCCACCTTTTGTTCTTGTTCATGCAGCCCTGGGGATTGAACCCAGGCCTCACTGCATGCAAGGCCAGTGCTTCACCTCCAGGCTACATCGCAGTCCTTAGCCCCACTATGAACGCCAGCCCTACCACTTGCCAGACTGTTTGACCCTAGTCAAACTGTGCTTTGCAGTAGGGAGGGTTCAGAGGGCAGTGCTCAGCTCCCATCCCCACATGCATGGGCCTTTCACAGTCTTATCACTCCTGGATTTTTTAGTTCACAAAGCCCTTCCCATCCCTTCCCAGCCACCAGGCCCAATTCCACCTGGCCCTAGGGTCTGACGGAGCTGCCAGTGTGGGCTAAATCTCCACCCCTCAGCCTTCAAGGCCTTCGAGCTCCCCGGGAGGGCCCCAGCTCTGTGTCCCTCCTCCCTGTCCCTAAGCAAGACTGTGCCCCCAGCCTGTGTCTCCAGAGCCCTGGCATTTTGCTGTGTGAGACCTGGTTAAATTGCCGTGTGTGTGTGTGTGTGTGTGTGTGTGTGTGTGTGTGCGTGTGTGTGTGCACGTGCCAGGTTGCCACTCACATCATCACATATGAACCAGGAACATATCTGCAGGCAGATGTATCCCTGCCCCAAGGACAGAGCCCTGCCCTTGGCAGGTGGGTGTGAACTGGGTATCAGTGGGATGTGTGGCCAGGGAGACGGAGGAGTCACCTTCTCCATCCATCTCCCACCAGGCAGCCTCAGATAGGCCATTGGCTACCCCACTTCTCTCCCTGCCTGGCCTCCAGCCCCTCACCCCATCCGCCACAAGGAAATCCACCCAGTCTCCAGAGTCCGGCTCAGGTTCCACGCCCCATGTTTTATGAGTGCAGGAGGCCCAATCCCTGGCAGACGGGGTCCAGGCTGCCCAGGCAGCGCCTACTGGGAGATGCTGGGGGGGGGCACTGGTGCACAGCTGGGCAATGAGAACACCACACCAGGACGCTTCAGCTGCACCCCCGCCCCTCACGGGCTGCCTCCCGCACACTGACCTCGTCCAGGTGGGCTCCCACACTTCACCCGTCCTCCTCCTACTGGACCTTGTGCGCCCTGTGCTCTCCCGATCCATGCAGGACACTGGAGTCAGGACCAACTCTGGCCCAGCAGTGGGCACAGTGTTCGTAAATGAATAAAATTATAAGGGGTGATCGGAAGGCCGGTTATATTGAAACAGTTATCGAAAGAGTCAGTTTTTGGTATAGTAATATATATGTTTCTTTATTAACACATTAAGAACATGGAAGGTCTAACAACTATGATCATTTCAAAGGAGTGATAAGCATAAATGGTATTTCTGAGATAACTTTATCTTTGACAACTAATGCAGTCAGGAAACATCTGTGAGTTCTGTTGGTTACAAAGTCGCAGATACTGTTAATACTTTTGTGGCCTGTTGTCCAAGCCCATAAAAGAATGTTAAATTTCAGTTACAGAGGAGTGAAAATAAAGATGTAATTTTCTTCCTATCTAGGCTCACAAATCCCCAGAAATCCATAGACCCCAGCCAAGAACCTCCGATTACACTGCGGAGTGAGAAGGACAGGAGGACACCTTCAGCACTGAGCTGCAGCTCCCGTCATCCAATCCTCGCATGGACCCTGAGAGATACACGCTACAGCCCAGTGTTCTCGCGGCTACCTGAGGCCCAGTCACCCTGGCGAGGTTGGAGCTACACAGCGCCACCTCTCAGAGGGGACGAGCCCCAGAACAAGGCCTTAAGTGACTCTGGCCCAGAACCCGCCCAGACCCAGGCCTTTGCCCAGGGGAGTCTGACCGGTGAATGGAAGGGAGGCTGTGGCCCTTGAAATCACACACACTCAGTTATTTTTATCTCCAGTTTATTTTTTTGACTAAGAGCAGAGTATGAAAGTCACAGCCAAAGCACTTGAAAAAGGCCCAGGATGGGTGAGGACCACAGGGTGGGCAGGGCTGGGAGGGAGTCTGTGCGTTGCATAGGTCCTGTCTTCACAGAAGACAAAAGAGGGGCCAGGGTCCCCGGGGGGCCTAGCCTGGTGGGGAGGGGTCTAAAGCTGGAAGGGGAAGTCGAGAAAGGTCGGGTTAAGGAGGAAGAGGGACTCTGTCTGTACATTATATACAGAGATATAGTCTGTACATGCCTGCCTGGCACCCCAGTGCCCACCCCTCTGCCACCCCTGTCCACTGCCTGCCCCCAGGGGTGTCTACTTGTAAACTTGGATTCGCTCCAAACCACAATCCTTCGAGTGGGTGGGGAAGGACGTCTTATTGCTGTAAACAGGGGGGCAGCGGGCGGTGCTGCCTCCTCCCCATGCTCTGCCCCAGGAGGAGGGCGACCTGGTGCCTCCCTCGCTGCAACGTGCTGTCTCTGGGGCACAATTGTCTCCGAGGGGAGGACAGGGGAGGGCACCAGGGGGCAGGGAGAGGTACGAGGGGCAGGGAGTACTGAGCACTGCCCTTCGTGGCCCTGGGGTTTGGTACCAAACATTACCAGAGGCACAAGGCCACCTGGGAGCTGTGGCTGTCCCGTGCGTGGTGCAGTGCAGGGCCCTTCCTGGGAGGGCAGGGGGCGGGCACAGGTGTACGCAGACCCCACTCTCAGCCACGGAGAGGGCCGGGCCCACAGCTAGGCGCCCCTCGGACAGCCCGAGGCTCCTTGCCCCTTCTCAGCCCCGCCCATCTCCCTGCCGGGGCGGGCAGAGCTAGGAGGCCAAGAGCGTCACGAGGAAGAAGGCGATGCCCACGGCCAGGGGCAGGTGCTCCCGCTTGGGGCTGGTCCCGCTGATGCTCTTCTCCAGCTTTGGTACCTGGGGGCTCTCTCCCTCGAAGTCCTCTGCGGACAGATGAACGGGCAGGCTGGTGAGGGCCAGGCCGCGTGCCGGAGCAGGGGCACGCGGCAGCGGCAGCGGCAGCAGCGTGGAGCCGGGGACCTGGCCACCCACGGACGGGCCCGGGAAGGCATGCGATAGGAGTGGCACCGGGAGGGGCTGCGGTCCCAGCAGCGGCCACCAGAGGGCGCTGCGCAGACTCACCCAGCACGTTGATCTTCACATTGGGGCCCATGGTGAACTGGGGGAGGGTGGGGACCGGCTTCTCCCCGGAGTGCGATGCTGCGGGGTGGGGTGCGGGTGGGGAGAGAGGAGGGGGAGAGTCAGGGCCAGGACCCCCTGCCCCTGCTGCAGCTGGGGAGCAAGACCCCTCGCCTATGCCCTCCGCTCCCGCCCCCAGGGAGCCGGGGAGCCCCAAAGCAGGGAGCCGAGGCGGGGCGCGGAGGGAGCCTATGACACTCACTGGAGGCGCAGCAGACGAACACCTTCATCCTCAGACACTTCCAGTGCAGGTTGTGGGTGGGCGTGGCTAGGGGAGAAGACGGGCCTGAGTTGGCGGCCCTGTGCAGAGCGGCCCGGCCCTCGCCGCCCGCTGCCCCGGGCGCTGTCCCCGCCTTCGCACAGGCGGCCCTTGGCTCCGCTGCCCCGGGCGCTGTCCCCGCCTTTGCACACGCGGCCCTTGGCTCCGCTGTCCCGGGCGCTGTCCCCGCCTTTGCACACGCGGCCCTAGGCTCCGCCGCCGCCGGCCAGGACCCGGGCAGGCCCCACCCCTCCGGGCCCGGACTCCAGGCCGTCCGGCAGAGCTCGCCCCTCCGGGTCCCCCGCTGGCCTCCGAGGGACCCGCCCGACTCACAGATGTAGTAGTACTCCTGGCCCGCGTGGAACTCGTAGCCCAGCGAGAAGGCGCTGTAGCGCTGGAACTTCTCCGAGAACTTGATGGGGCTGTGCGGGGCGTGCGGCCGGTTGCACTCCCAGCGCTTGAAGCCCTGGCTGGCGTTGCAGGCGCGGTAGCCGCTGCGGCTCACCATGTACAGCACGTACTGCTCCGCCCCGCCGCCCGGCCCGGGCCCCGCCCCCGGGCCCGCCCCCGAGCTGTTGTAGTGCGGGCAGTAGATGTCCAGATAGTCGTTCACGTTCACTTGCACCGTGTAGCCCTCGCGCCGCAGGCTGCGGGAGAGCGGGCGGGTCAGGGAAGAGAGCCCACAGCCAGCCTGCTTTCCGCGCGCGCCGCCGCTGCGCAGGCCCCGCTCTTCCCAGCTGCTCGGCGGCCAGCCCTCCGTGCCCTCGCCCCCGGTGCTGTCTCCCCTCGTGGCCGGCAGAGGGCAGCAGACGCGCGGGGAAGCCCAGCGCCTCCAAAGCTGCGGAGGCAGAGCGAGGGGCGGGGAAGAAGAGAACGTACGCTCCGGTTGCCACAGAAACGGCGCAGGCCCCAGCGACTCCCAGACCCGGGTCCGGATTTCCTCAGTCCATGCCCGCAACGCGCCGGCCGGGATGAGGGACGCGGCGGCCGGGCCTCCCATGGGGCGCGCCCCCTCCCTCGCTCTTCCCAGCCTGCTTCCCGCCGGTCCAGCCCAAGGCCAGTCGGACAGGACCTGCCGCCCAGACGCGGCGCTTCCTGCGTGTACATGCACAGGCTCCATGGCACACACACAAGCATATCCACCGCCCACTCGCGGCGCGCACGGGAGGAGCGAGGCTGCACGTGTGCCACACCGCTCGCCGGTACCGGCCGACCCGAGCCAGCTCGGGCCCTCCAGACCTAGCCACGCGGCAGGCCTGCTGGGCTCTGGGCCAGGCCCACCCACCTTGGCCCGAGGCCGTGGACCACCCGCCCGCAGAAGCCGACCCCACAGATGGGGCCGGGACTGACGCTCTCGTCTCTGCACGCACCTCCCTCCTCCACCTGGGAGCCAAGCCCCACACCCAGGCGAGGCAGAGGAAGGGGCACGACACCCAGACAAGATGGCTGTGCCTCCCACCCCGGACCCTCTCGGGGAGAGCAGCAGGCCTGCGAGTCACCGTCAAAGTGCTGGTCCGAATACCCTCGGTGGTGCTGGGCTGGGGCGAGAAGGTTGGAGGAGCGGCTCTTACCCTACTTCCCGGGGTAGAAAGCACACGCATGGGCAGTGAGAGAGAGAGGGCGGACGCAGGGCACAGGCAGGCATAGGGTGCCTGGCACAGGTCAAGCCACTGGGGTCCCACTCCCTGGGAGCTCCCTGAGGGGAAGGATGGCTCTTCGGGCGCCAGAACCACTCAGTTTTAAAAACAATAATTAGACCCATTAGGGAGATGAGCTTGGAGGTCTTGCATCCCTGCCCACCATACCCCACTTCTCTGGTTTTGCCTGTGCTGCCCCCTTCCCAAGCACCCCTTCCAAGCCTGGCAGTGAGGCAGATGGGCGGGAGCTGGTTTGGGGCACCCGGGAAAGATGGCACAGCCTCCCTGAGTCATCTGGCATGTCACGAGTCCCACCTGGTTCCCATGGGAGAGACGGTCACTGGGCCCCTCCCTGGCCCTGGCACCCGGGTGGGCAGGAGTCTCAGCCTGGGGCGCTGGGAGCTGGAGAACGGGTTAGACCAGGCCTGGCTCCCAGCCACCACTCGGCACCGCCAGTCCATCCCAGCCCTAGTCTCCGGTTCCTCCCTGGGGCTTTGGGGAGGGGGCTGCCGGCATCTAGATGCCCAGCGGGAGCAGCCATATGTGGCCTCTGCCGGGAGCCGGGCCTACGAGGCCAGGCTGGTTCTGAAGCAGCCTCTCCCTGCTGTGCCACCGAGTTGCTCCGGCTGACACCTCACTCCAGCAGGGAGCAGGTCCCCTCGAGACCACAGGTGCCTCAGTTCCCTCCACAGGGAGGCACCAGCCTCGCAGAAAGGGGCTGGATGACCACCGGAAAGAGAGGCCACCTCTTTCGAGTCCTGTGCTCATGGCAGAAAAAGCCCCGACATCACCCCGAAGCTGGGCACCTCTGCACCCTACTCGGAGGTGGCTGTCCCCAGCGGGTATCTGGTGGACGGGGGTCAGAAGGCCTGGGGGCCAGAAGTCTTAGCCACCACTCCTCGAGGTCCGACCTGTGTCCTTGGCTCGGGCCCTTCAGCTGAGCGTGGAGTCCCTGCCCGGCGGAGCAGAGGCAGGTGCCTAGGCCTCTCCATAGCTCAGCCCCCAGGCTGCACCCCGAGACGGTGGCCGTGCGCCTGACAGGCGTCAGTGCCGAAAGGCCAGGGTCCACACACGCGTCCGAGCGCGCCCCACACCCCTTGTTCCAGTCTCCCGGGCTCGCCCCCGCCCCAGGCGCTTCCGACCCCTCTCCCACTGCTCAGCCCTTCGGAGAGGCTGCGCCTCCGGGGAGCGGGGAAGGCACACGCTTCTCCCACCGGGGCCATTAGGGGAAGGTAAACAGGGTGTCTAACCGACCGGGGAGTAGGGAAAGGGTCCCAAGCGGCCGGGAACTTGTTAAATCCCAGCCCCTGCCTCCGACGCCGGACGCAGTTGCAGTTACGGGAGTGGAGGCGGAGGGCTGGAGGAGCCGGTTCTCCCCCACCGCGCGCCCCCGAGGCTGCGCGCCGCCCGCGGAGCAGGCAAGGCCCGACCACGTGTGCGCAGCGTGAGGCCCGCGCTCCAGGGCTCGGGTGACGGGGCCCGTGGGGCGGCGTGTGCACGCAGACACCCCGCGTCCCTCGGCGGCCCGGCCCTGCCAGCCGCGCTGGGGCTTCCCCAGGCCGCAGGGTCTCAGGGAGAAGCCGCGCGCCCGACACCCCCGCCCCTCGCCCTGCGACAGCAGCGGCGGCGGCGGCGAAGGTTTATTGATCTGCAGCGGCGGAAAGGAGCGAGAGCCCCGCCGAAGGCAGGCGCGCAGAGATGGGGCGGGAGAGACCCCGGAGCGGGAGGTGACTGGAGGGCCCCGGCAGACGCACAGGAGCGGAGAGGGACGCGGCGGGGAAGACCTCAGGGATGGAGTGGAGACCCGGCGAGGGCTGCTGAATGAATGTGTGAATGAAAGCCAGGTTTCAGCAGCAGAAACCTCTCCGAGGCAGGCGGGCAGGCAGGCAAGCAGAGAGACAGCTAGAGAAAAGACGCTCCGAGGCTTCCGGAGTCAGGGGCGAGGCCCAACACCTTCGCCCGGTTCTGCAGGGAAATGAAGCCCAGGCTGGGCAGCTATCTGGTCACCTGACCCCGCACCCAATTTCAGGAGACTCCTGACCCGCACACTGGCGTGCTTTCCTCCGACACAGCCCTCCCGTCCCGAGTTTCTGGGGCAGGTCTCGAGCAGGCCTCGCCTACTCCCGGAGCTGCACAGAGCGGCCGAATGGGGCCGTGTGGGGCCAGGTCGCGGCCCCTGCCCCGGGTCTGTCAAAGGAGGCTGCCGCACGTGTCCCGCCAGCACCTCCCACGTGACCCGGGGGCGGGGTCGTAGGCCCCCACGTGACCCCAGGGCCGAGACCCTCCTCACGTGACAGGAGGTGGGCGCCCGGAGCCCCACTCACGTGACTGGGGAGGGGCGCGGGAGCCTGTGTCTGGCCGGCCCCGCCCCCAGCTCCCCGGCCCTCTCCACTGCCGGCTCTCGAGCACGTCGCTCGCACGATTTATGGGGCCGCGGCTGCCGCAGTGAGGGAGCCGGGAGCCGGGAGCCGGGCGCAGCGGCAACAAAGGCCCGGGCAGCGAGGCGGGGGCGGCGGCGGCTCCGACCCGGTGCGCGCTCCTCCCGCCTCTGCCGACCCCAGGCCCGCGCGAGTGCAGAGAGCAGAAAGGAGGCGCCCGGCTCCCCACCCCCTTCCGGAGCCGTCACCTGTGCCCAGGTGTATGCGGGGGAGGCGGCCTGATCGATACCCTCTCCAGGCGACACCCGCATTCCCCAGGACTGTGGAGTGCCCCGAGGCTGGCGGGGAACCTGGCGCCCCGCACTTGAGAGCTCTCCTTGCCCGCCCGGCTTCGGCGGGGCGGGGGTCAGAGTGTGGGTCTAGGGGCAGGAGGCGGGCTAAGTGGAGCAGGGGAGTCAGCCTCAGGGCCCCCAGAGATCTCAGAGTCCCGCTCCGGGGGGGAGGGGCCGCATCCCCACCCCCGTGGTTTCCAGGGAAGCGAGAGGGGGGCGCCGTTGGCTCATCCCCACCCCCAGTCTGACACTCTGGGCGCGAGGAGGGGGGGAGGCGCAGAGCCCCAAACAACAAAGAGCGAAGCGGCGAGCGCAGCCCCTCCCCTGGCAGGTTGGGGTCGCGGCCGCCAGGCCCTGCCGGCTCCTCCCCCGGGTCCGGCCGTTTCTTCCAGCCGCTCCCCGGGCTGGGGCGCCGGAGGCAGAGCTGCCGCCACCGCCCGAGCAGGTGTGACAGTGACCCCCGCGTCCCCAGGGATCCCCACCAACGCGCATACACACGCGAGGCAGCCAGGGTGATGCCCACGGAGGCTCGGCGGGGAGGGGAAGACAAGGGCAGCGAGGACTGTGCGGGGCGGGGTGGGGGGAACCCCGAGAACCCGCTCAGACCGCGGCGGCGCCGACAGCCACCCAGCCAGACGCGGCCGGCCACGCGGACCCCGGCCGCAGCCCCTCCCCTGCCCGCTCCCACCCCAGACGATCGGCGACGCAGACACACAAATCACACTCAGACACACACGCGCACTGACAGCCGCGCACGCCCGCTCACACTCGGTGCCACACGCCGTCCCCGGCCCGGGTGTGTGCGCGGGGGTGACACGACGACATCTTCCTGCCTTCTTCCCTCTCCCAGCTCCCCACCTTCCCATCTTAGCCCAGCAGCACCCTCGGGGTCCCCCCAACTCGGCAACCCGGCCCCAGCGCACCGCAGCCTGGTTTCCGCACACGGCTGGGCCGCCCCCCCCCCCCACGTTGCGGGGAGACGCTCGTTCGGAGTCCGGGCCTCAGCCCTGGACCCCACTTTTAGAAGCAAGAGTCCAGGGCAGAACCCCTGAAAACACTCATGGCCGAAAACAGGTCATCCCTGGGACCCCTTATGCGGCGGCCCATCCCCAGGACACTGGTGTACCCCAGCCCCTAGCCCAGCCATCGGGATTGAAGATGGGGGGCCGATGGGGCTGGGGTGCGCTGTTCCAGCGGCGGGGGTGGAGAGAAGCCAAACCGGGAGGGGGCCCCAGGGCCTCCTCCGCACGGCCGAAGCCTTGCTGCACCCCAACAGCCTCGCTCAGACACCCCCGAGTTCAGAGACGCCCACAGGGTGCATGCCCCCGCCCCCCAGCCTCCAGCTCCGCTCCCCCAGGACTCCCCGGGCCCAGCCCCCCCCTCACGGACCCCGGGACCCGCAGGCTCCCTGGCCCCCGACTCACTGCTGGTTGGAGCTGTTCCAGTACACCGCATGCCGGTTCCCCAGTGCCCCCCCGGGCCCCTGGGCCAGCAGCGGCAGCAGCGGCACGGGCACGAGCAGCAGGAGCAGCAGCAGCGGAGCCGCCGCCATCCCCGGAGCCGCCGCCCCCCGACTGAGCCCCGCGCTCCCGGCTGCTCCGCTTCCCAGCTCCCCGCCGCCGCCGCCGCCGCCGCCGCCGCCGCCGGCCCCCAGCCTCAGGCCACGCCCACAACCCGGCTGTCCGCCCTCCGAGGCGCGCCCCAAAGCCCCGCCCCCAGCGCGCTCCCGCCAGGCCACGCCTCACTGGGGCGGGGAGCGCGCCCCGCCGAAGGTGGGGGCCGCGCCTCTTCTGCGGTCGACCGGTTCGCACCTCCCCTCTCTCCTAGGTTGTATGCTACAGCTGGCCCCGGGCTATTGCTCCCGAGGCTGGAGTTCCCAGGACAGGGCCCTGACCCTGCCTAAGGGTCTATTCCAGCCTGGGACAGAGCGAAGGAAGAGTCAGAGGGCGGCGACACGCTGGCCCTTTCCCCCACCCGCCGAGGAGTCGGGGCACAGTCCGCTGGTGGGAAAGCCCTCCACCGGCACTGAGGACCTGAAGCCCCAGCGAGGCTTGAGGCTCAGTCCCCTAGGACTGTCAGTGCTGGGCGCAGGGGCGCAGTGGCCGTCCAGGGCCCCGAGTAGGGGCCAGGAGGAGGCAGCAGGAGCCAGGCAGGCTTTGCAAGGCTGCTCAGCCACGAAGGGCTCCTCAGCCCTCTGGCAGCCCCCCTGGTGCTCTTGCTTTCTCTGTGGGGTGTCTCCTACTCCCAAGGACGCTGACCCCTAGGCACTGTGCCAGTCAGGTCCTGTGGGGACAGCCAGTCCCCAACACACTCACAAAAAGGTCACAGACACCTGGAGGCAGAGGGCACGGAAACACGGGCACCTGTCACAGCCCGACACACGGGGGAAGGTGCTTCCCGACAACCAGAGCAGTAGAAACAAACAGACAGAGGCGTGGAAGCCCTCCACACACACACACACACACACACACACACACACACACACAGTGACTTACACTGTAACCCACATGCACCCTCTGACACACTATTCACACTAGTTTTCCTAGGAGGTGGAAATTCCCCAAAGGGCTCAGAACCCAGGCCTGGGAGGCACTGCCCCTGGTCTGCCTCCTCTGGAGAGGGAGCGGGCAGACTCAGGCCTGGGTCTCAGCACCCACACCAACCACCTGTGCCCTCCAGGCTGGCACAACACCATTTGCTGCTCTGTTGCACTGGAGAGGACACCTGGCATCTGTGTATCAGGACAGGGTCCTGGCCACAGGTCGGCCTCTGGTGCTGGGGGTCCAGAATAGGCTCTGTGCCTAGCTGCTGCCAGGCAAGAGCAGGCTCTGTCCCCCCAGGCTCCTCTCCACCCCAGGAGATCCCTCCTCTCTTCTCAGGAGCCAGAACATAAATTAGGCCCCTTAGGATGGGAGAGAGGACTTTGCAAACAGCTCCTCTTGCCCCCAGACTCCTTGTCCCCAGGGCGATTGGTTTCACCCAAGTGACGCTCACCTGTCTACTCCAAGGACCACTAATCCCAGCTCTGTTCCCTCCTACCCACAGCCCCTGCTCCCCAAAACCTGCCTCTTTAAGGCCCACACTTGGCAGAGGAGCTGTGGATATTCTCATGGCATGAAGGCTTCAGATCCCAGCTTTGAAACCTTCTATCCCTGCTCACAGAATCTGGGTCCTGTTGAGGGATCGGGGCCCCTCGGTGTAGCCCCCAGATGTGCCTCTTTAGGACAAAGCCCTGCCCTGGACCTGGAGCTCTCCCAACAGGCTGTGAGCCAGTGGGGCCTGTCTGCCTTTGTGTGGCATTGTGTACCCTATGTACCTCAGTCTCTGGGGTGCATCTCTTGGCGAGCAGGGCCTCTGTGCAGAGACTGAGGTGCTGCTTCCTTCAGTGGGAGGTGTCCTGTGTCTTCCCATCCCCGTGAGGGAGTCTGGGCTGATGTCAGCCTCCTGTTAGCCTTGTGTGGCTCCTTTGTGCTGTATACAAACTGCACAGCTGTATGTGGCAGTTCTGTCTACATGGTATTCACCACCTACGCCTGTCTATGGGCCTCTCCCAGCGAGGCCTGGACTTCTGCATGGACTGGGTCTGTATAAGATGTGGGCCGCCACCCATCCGAAGGGCCAGGCCTCCCTAGGCCTTTGTCAATGATGTCTAGGCCTTGGCTTGCACCTGAGGTTCAAGTCATTCACGACTGTGTCCCACGGTAGGGCATGGATTTGCACTGTGGTCCAGCCCGTGCTTGTGAGTGTGATGATGTGCACAGCCACTGCATGTAACATGTACCTCAGACAGGGAGTTTCAGGGAGCAGTACTTACCCCTGCTACAGAGAAAGCACTCATATTTTTCTTCTGTTCTGTTTTTACACTAAAAAAATGACTGTTTGAGGCTTGTGGAACTGATTTCTTCTTTTCTCTCTTTTTTTTTGGTATAGGGATTCAACTCAGGACCTTGGGCTTGCAAGGCAGTGACAGTGCCACTGATCTAAATCCCTGGCCCTGCAATACATACTTCTTGCTAATAGTTCATATGTTAAGTTACCCAGCAGTATTTTGTTTTTGGGGGGTATTTTTGGTACCAGGGATTGAACTCAGGACCTTGTGCTTGCAAGGCAGGTGGCGGAACCACTGAGGTAAATCCCTGGCCCCCGCCAGCAGCATTTTGAAAAAGTCCTTTTTTTTCAGTGCTGGGGATCGAACTCAGGACCTTAAGCTGGCGAGGCAGGCGTGGTCCCACTGAGCTACATGCCTGGCCTGGAACTGATTTCTCGACTTTCCCTCCCGACCAGGCTCCACCCAGCCCGTGACACCTGGTGTGGAAGGCCAGCCTGGAGCAGCTCTTGGGTCGAGGGCCACGTCCGGGTTGGGGTCCTCCGAACAGGGATGCTCCGCTCTCCAGGGCATCTGGCCTCCTTTCTCCTCAACTGCAGGCCCTGCCTTGGTTTCCCTCTGGCCTGAAGTGCACAGAACACCGGGGTGCCTGATGACTCCAGAGCAGGCAGAGGGAGCTCTCGGCCAGCCGTGTGGCCCAGCAAGGCTTCTGGGACAGCGGTGGCAACCACAGAGCTGAGCTGTGTTCAATAAATCATGGCGGCTGGGACTGGGGGAAATGAGGGGGCCCCGGATAAATAATTCATTAAACAAATAAACAAGGAGCCTGTGAGATGGAAGACCAGCAGCATGTGAGCAGGAGAGGCAACTGCCAGCTCCAGACATGAAATATTCACAGGCTCCGCACCTTGAACAGGGCCTGTGTCCTCCTAAAGTGGGAGCCTGGGGGGCAACAGAGAGGGCAGTGCCTGTCTCCCGGCCTCCCAGCATGTGGCAGCTCTTCGATGTGCCGGCTCCCGAGCTGCAGTGGCACTGCACACCACCTGTGCTGACTTGGGGATGGGGGGCACTGTGGGGTCTCCAGGACCCAGGGCTCGGCAGGCAGAGTCAGGTGTCATCACTAGGATTCAAGCCATGTGCTGATTCCTCTACTGAGTCCAGCAAGTGGGAGGCCTGGAGCAGGGGGCATCAGCCTGGAGGGCTTTGGGCGTCCTCTGAACCTGGCTGGGGAAAAGCCGAGAGGGAGGCCGAACAGCTCTGCCGCACATGCTCGGGTTGGGGCTGCAGTTCTGCCGCTCCCTGGATCTCACCAACTTCTGTGCATACCCCCTGTGCAGGGTGGATAATAGCCCCACCTGGTTGAGGAGGTGACTGTCAGGAGGACCAGGCCCAGTTTCTGAGGACTGAGCTCAGTAGCACAGTGCTTGCCTAGCATTTGTGAGGCCCTGGGTTCCACCCCCAGCACTGGGGGAATGTCCACAATGTCTGGGAAGCACTCAGGACAGTGTTTCAGGCCCAAGGGTTGCCTGATCAACAGGCGGCTTCATTGTCATCATCATCAAGAGGTTATCTATCCCTTGAGTGCTGGCCACCTAGACCAGGCCCAGACTCCCTCCTGCACCTGCTCCTCCTCATTTCCAAGCTTCTCTAAGACTACCACAGAGAGAGGGGTGACCTAGGGCTTGGAGAGTAGGGAAAGGTTCGATGGACTGAGGGAGAAGGGGAGTTACCTTTAAAGAAAGACCTTCCTGGCATGGTGGCAAATGCCAGTGATCCCAGCACTCGGGGGTGGAGGTGGGAGCTGAGGCAGGAGGATCACCAAGAGTTCCAGGCCACCCTGGGCTCCATAGCGAGTTCAAGACCAGCCTGAACTACATAGTGAGACCCTGTCTCAGGAAAATCAACCAAACAAAACAAGTCCCCTTCCCTGAGACTGGAAGAAGGGCTCTTGACCTCTTCCTCAAATCCTAGAGCTTTTTTCTAAACTCCTCAAGCTCTCCCTAGATGAGGACCTTCAGAGATTCTGCTGTGTAGACAGCGATGGAGAAGAGGTCTGAGCAGGGTCATACCCTGCCCCAGCCTTCACTGCCAGAGCCTGGCCCTGCCCTCTGCTCAGGGTTAAGGGCTTCCCTGGCAAAGACAGCTATGCCTGGGCAAAGCCCAGAAAAGTGCTGTCCCAGTGTGGGTGGAGAGAATCCGGCTGGAGTGAGTCTCAGAGGCCGGGCGGAGTGTCTGGCAGCCTCCCAGTAGGCCTCAGCATTCCCAGCCCTGTGTCCCCTGGAAAGGATCGGCCCAGCAGGAGAGAAGAGAGCCAGCAAACAGGTCTGAGCCGGCCTGCTCCTCCAGACAGAAGAAGGCTGAGCTGGGGAGGGGCCGGGTCTCGTGGGGAGTGATGGCTGTGGCCTCAGGTCTCCTCTGGGGGTCAGGGACAGAGGGGCCTACCGCCTGGGCACACCCTGTCCCGCCTGGGGCCCAGCCCTCTGCCTCCCTTTCCCAGTCTGCTGCCACCTGTAGAGCCAGGGGCCTGGGCCCTCAGCTTCGAAGACGCCTGCCCACCCCTTCCCAGGGAGCGAACATCTTTCCACTTCCCCTCCCCTGGGCTGGGCAGGTTCAGGCCAATCTGCACAAGCGCTCCACAGCAACATCGATCTGTAGTAAACCACAGTATGTGTTCAGGAGGAGGGATTCCAGACATCACACATGCAAACACACACACACACACACACACACACAAAACATATAGCTCTGCGAGGGGAGACACCAACAGTCCTGAGAACACTTTTAAACAAGGACCCACACTGTGTCAGACACCCAAACAAGGAGGTGCACATCTCCTCCCTGTCATAAACTTTGTCCTTCAGAATCAAAGCCTTCTCTGATGGCCCATTTCCCCTGTGTTCCTATAGTATTTTGTATGTAACTCCATATTAGCATTTGCACTTGACATTATAATTACTCACTGCCCAGTCTGTCTCTGAAGATTCCTTAAGGGAAGGCATCTTGTCTTATGCAAGTGTGTATCCCCAGCATGCAGCATGCAGACTGGTATTTAGTTAGTGGGAGTAGGTGAGATGCTCAATAAATAACTGCAAAATCAATGAAGGAAGGCCTGGATGCATACAGACAGTGCACATCCATCCCTTGAAACCCTCAGGAGCCCACACAGTACACCAGTGGGTCCTCCAAAGCCTCCAGCTGGCCTCCCACCTCTGAGGCCCTGACCTCAGTGATCTGTCCCTCCAGGGCCCTCCTTCCCCTCCTCCTCAGTGGGAGCCCAAGAGCCTGAGTTCCACCCGAGGGCCAGTGGCAAGGTAAGGGTTAATGGCACCTCATTTGAGTTTAATTGGAGGAAGGAAGCTACAGGGCAGCAGACAGGTGGGCAGGTGGCCTCTGGCGGGGACTAGGCTTCCCTAGCGCCAGCACCCCACCAGGCAAGTGGGTGGTTTGGACCTGGAGACCCTAACCCACAGGACACCTCCCCCTGCACTTGCCTTGCCAACGCAGACTCCAGGCAGCACAGCCCAGCACACCCCATCTGTCACGGAGCGTCCAGAGGGAGCTGGACACCACCCTTCCTCCTTCAGCTAGGTCCCCTCCACCCCCGAGAAGGGGAGCCGGGCGGGGTGTGGAGCTGGCCAGCAGAAGCAGATTAGAGGGACAGATTCCAGATACAGACAGGCTGCAGGGCTGGGGATGTGACATGTCTGCCAATTTGACCTTAAATGAAGAGAATGCAAATGAGATAGACGATATGCAGATGAACACAGGATTCCAGACTGCCATTCCTGGTGGCAGCAGCTCTGCACCCAGGACCCGGCACTCCTACTAATACTCCCTCCTAACCTTTGGGGTTGAGGTGCACTGACCATTATTTTGAGTAAAAAAAGATCTTTAAAAAGATAAGATCTTGGTTGGGCTTGGGCCGCAGGACCTGGAAAGCTGAGCTACACCCAGCTTTCTTACCCCAGCCTAAGCACCCACCTAAGCCCCGGTCGCTCCGGCAGCCACTGCTGGTAAGCTCCGACGCGCCAGTGGTTGCTATGGAGACCCCTCTTCTTTCCAGGCCTAAGCCAATGGCCACTACCGCTGCTGACCTCATGCCCCAGGCCCCGGGATTCTATTGGCTCTGTGGAAGCCACAGTGTACCCTTTTCAACTGCGTCAACGCTGGGGATCCCCCCCACGACCCCAGCTAGTGGGGCTGTCTGAAAGGGGGGCGCTGGAGGAACTGTCAGTGCACCGAATGAATGATTAAAGAGGGGACTGGGGATTTAGCTCAGTGGTTCGGCCTCCTGCCTTGCAAGCGCAAGGTCCTGAGTTCAATTCCCGGTACCCAAAAGAAAGAAGGAAGGAACTAATGAAAGAGAGCCGGGCATGGCGCATGCCTGTAATCCCAGCACTGGGGAGGCTGGGGTAGCAGGATCACCGTGAGTTCGAGGCCAGCCTGGGCTACATGGTGAGTTCAGGGCCAACCTGAACTACAAAGCCAGACCCTGTCTCAAAAAACAAAAGGAAAACAACACCCCCCCCCCCAACTAATGACAGTGAAGAAGGAAAAAAGGACAGAGTCACAGAAAAAGATCAAAATCTCAGGTTTCGTCTCGAGGAAAAACGGGTGATTTGCCACTCCGGGTAGGGTGGGGGGAGACCTGGTCGCAGGGAGCTGAGCTCAGGCCAGGGAGGCAGGGCAAGGTAAAGAGGAGTGGAACCTTCGCCTGTTTCTGGGAGAGACAGGGACTGGCCCAGCAAATTGTGGGCCCCACCCTCAGCCGCCTAGCGCCGCTGCCGCTGAGTCTGGGGGAGTTTGGTGACGCCCCAAAACTCGCAGGCCTGCCTATCCCGGAACCGCGCCCTGGAATACGCCTCGGGGACCTCTCGTGGGCAGGGCCGGTGCCCGTCTGCGCCCCGGGAGCGGACCTGGTGCTGGTCCCGCGGAGGCGCCGGGAATGCAGGCGGGCCGGCTCGGCCTGAGTTCCGGCGAGGAGGCTGGAGCTGGCGACCCCAGCCCCGCTCGGGCGCCCGCTCTCCGCCCTCGCACCTGCCGGGCGCGCGTCGCCCCCGGAGGCCGCGTGGCCCGCGCCGCTCGCTCCCTCGCACATGCGTCCTCCTCCGCGGCGGATCCGCGCGCCGGCCGGCCGGCTCGGGAACGAGCGCCCCCGGGGCGTGGGCAGCCGGGCAGGGGGAGACCCTCGCGGCCCTCCGGGTAGCCCTGGGCCCCTCCCGCGCCTTCTCTCGTGCGGGGCGGGGTAGCCGAGTCGGTTTCCAGGGCAACGCGGGACCCCCTCGGGGACGATGGCATGGACGGGACCGGAACCCTGGACCAGAAGACCCAGTCTGCGGTTCCCCGTTAGGCGCAGACTTCGCCCCCCAGCCTCTCGCCTGCTGAGCTCGAGGCCCGGTGTGAGGCCTGACGGGCGCGAGGACACCCCGCACCCCGCACGAGCCCCCTCCGGGCGGCCTCCCGCGGGGGGCGGACTGACGGAGCCCGCTCTGCCGCCACGGCACCTCGGCCAGAGCCGTGGAATCAACCGGTGACGCCGAAGCAGGGGGACCCAGGTGGTAGGGGACAGGGCCCGACCAGGCGCCCGGGAGAGGGGTCGCGGCCTCCAGCGCCCTCGCACGCGTGCCCTTCTGTGCTCACGGCTGCCACCGGGCCGAGCTGATTAGCTCTCCACCTATTGATCCTGGCCCAGGGCCGGGCGGCCGCACCTCGCCACCCAGCGGAGGCTGCGGGGCAGCGGGATGGGCAGGGCACAGCTGCAGGGGCCAGGACGCTGCTCCCTGGCTCCGCCCAGGACACAGTTCCGAGACCGGCCCAGTTGGGCTGGGGGCATCGCCAGCCGGGGGCGGGGGAGGCGGTGTCAGCAGCGGAGGCCCTCCCTCCTCGGCCCCACCCGCCTCCTTATAAAAGCGAGAACAAAGAGGCCGCTGGGGAAAGCGCTTTGATCTGACCCCACCTTCCCAGTTCTGGGCCAGGCATCAGCCAGGGTGCCCAGGGGGACCCGGGCGCCTGAAACCCAGGTGGTGTCTTCCTGCTACCCCTTGCTTTCGCTCAGCACCCTGCTAGGGGCTGCCAGGGCTTGGGCAGTGCCCCAGGTGGGTGAGCTGTCAGGAACATCTGCCCCTGCTCAGCACGGGAAGCTGGGAGGAGGGGAGGGTGCCAAGCTGCACACCTGGTCCTGGCACCCACTCCGCACGGCTCAGAGGGTGCCCACCAAGGCTGGGTGTGGATGGCCTGGTGCAGCTGGCACGGAAGTCAGCCACACTTTGCTGGGAGCACAGGCCACAGGGAACCCAGGGTCTTGGGGACGGAGACCGAGGGCAGTGGGTAGGCCAGGGAGGGAGACATGGGAGGGGTGGTTTATTGAAGATTTGGTCCAGACACTTTTATAAAAATACAAACGGTGTGAAATTCAGTCTCACAGCAAGTCCGTCTTCACAGAAGACAAGTGGGTGACTCCTGGGTCGGGCGAGGCGCTGCCCGGAACAGCCCCCATCGAGGTAGCAGGGCTTCCTTGGCCCTGAGCCAGAAGCCCGGCTCTTCCATCTCCACCTTGGTCCCTGCTGGCTAAGGATCTTGTCAGGCTCCTGGGGGCTGAGACCATCCATCTGCGCAGCAGCAAAGCCATGTGTCCTGCCTCTGCGATGCCCAGGACGGTCTGCAGCACCCTCCAGCTCCTCTCCGGCTGAGCTGGAGGTGGGCACCTGCAGGGGTCACCTCAGCCCCTCTGACTCATCAGGGCTCCATCCGGCGACCTGGCTGGGCACCCAGCTGGTAGCAGGCCCCGTCCTCCAGGGGTGCTGGAGGGTCTGCCTCAATCACAGAACTCGCAGGAGACGCAGGACTGGGAGCAGCAGCAGTGGCAAGAGACAGAGGGGGCTAGGAGCGTGGCCCCCTCGCCACCCAGAGGTGCCACTCTCTCCAGGGCTCCCAACAGGATGGGCTGACTCGGACCCTGTAAGGGGAGGCGAGCACTGCTGGGTCCCCCCACTCCTTCAGCGGGTCCTCCCTGTCCTTCCCGTTATCGATGTACTCCAGTCCCCTGCTCCAGGCTCTCCCAGACAAGCCACCGCCTTCCCGCAATCAGCTGCTTCAGCCTTCCTCACCTCAACTTCCCAGGCCCCCCAAACATAGAAGACCAATAGTCTCAACTTCAGGTTTCCTCCACCACCGACAACCAGTCCAGCTAAGGCCCTGAAAGTCCCTGCGCCTGAGACTTCACTGTCTGGGCCCTGCGTAAAGTGGGGTGCTGGGGAAGCTCCCATAAGACTAAGTGAAGCAGGAGAAGCCACAACCCTAACCCACCACCTCAGAGCCCGATGCTCTGGATTCTCCCACCGCTTCCCCGGGGCCTTGCACTGGCCCGAGTGTGGCTGTCCCCACCTGCCCTCCCACTTACTGCTCTCCTTGCAGCAGACAGACACCTGGAGCCTCAAGCACTGACCGGAGCTCTCCGGGGTCGGCACAGCTGGGGGGAGATTGGGAAAAAGAAGTTAGCTCAGGAGTCACCCCTTTGTGTGCCCCCAACAGTCTGGCAGCCTCCCAGCTTTCTCTCACCTTGGGGTGGCTTCCCCTGCTGTGGGGCCACGTCCATGCCCCTGCCAGCCCAGCCCTCTTAGCTGCTCTGACTCTAGAGGCACTCTAGCCTCGCCCCGTGCAGGCCTGGGCTTCACAGGGCCCTTGCCTCTCCACGCCTCTCCGCGCCTCCCAGAGGCACACAGTCCCCACCACTCACAGATGTAGTAGTAAGTCTCTCCGGGCAAGAACTCGAAGCCCAGGGAGAACGGCGTGAAGCGCTGAATCTTCTCTGAGAAACGAACAGGGCCAAAGGGAGCGAAGGGCATGGAGCACTTCCAGCGCTGGAAGGCATTCGCCCCCTCTGCCCGGCAGGCCTCATAGCCCGGCCAGTCCACCATGTATAAAGCAAAGGTCTCGGGGCCCTCAGGGGGCCCTGGACTTTCATAGTGTGGGCAGAAGATGTCCAGGTAATCGTTGAGGCCCAGCTCCACCACGGCGTCTCCTTTAAGCAGCCTGCAGGTACAAGGTGGCAGAGGCCGAGGGGTTTATGGCCCAGCCCTTGGGGCGGGCAAGGTGCTGCCCGCTGGAACAGAGAGCTCTGGGCCCCCACTGGCAGTCCCTGGAGACAGTGAGTGGCTGGGTAGGGCCCACAGCACAGGGCCTGCTGGTGGGGAGAAGCTGTCGGCGGGGCTCTCCTGACCTTCGAGGCTGAGCCGCCCCACCTCCTGAGCCTGGCACAGCACCATGCTGGGTAACTGCCAGGTGAATCGATGTGCAGACAAGGGGCAGAGGGGCAGGGGCAGACTCAGCCCACGCAGCAGTGCAGACTGAATGGGACCTCAGGACCAGGCAGTGACCTGGGACGGCTCTGGCAATGCCGCAGGCAGAGCGTTCCCGAGTGGGTGCTTCGTGCTTTCTCTCTTTGCCAGAGTAAAGGAAGCACAGGGGACCCCTCTCCACACACCCAGCCTTTTCAGGACCCCCTTCCTCACCGCTGGGTGCTGCCTGTGCGGGTGGGAAGGAATGGCGAGGGGCAGGCCGCAGCACCAGAGGCCGCCCTCCCCTCCACACGGGCAGGGGCTGGACAGACTTAGCAGAGGCCCCAGGTGCCTCAGGAGTCCCCACCGGAGAGGAAGATCGGGTTCGGGCGCAGGCAGACCTCCTAGGACACAGGCCAAGGAAGGGCAGGGGCCTGGGGAGGAGACCCAGCCAGTACCCGGGGGGAGGAGCCCGAGTTTAAGGCCCCAGTGACTCAGGCACTGGTGTGGAGCAGAGGCGGAGGAATGCGGAGTCTGAGCAAAGCAGCTCTTACGGCTCAGAGCTAAGGGTCCCCAGGCGCCCTCTGGGTCTGGGCCTCTCCCCACAGGGCCAGGGCTCCTCCCTGATCCCAGCAACCCAGCACAAGTCCTTCCCCACAGTATGTGCTTATTGAATGTTAGTGAGCGAAAATGAGCAGAGTCACAGATTGAAGCAGAAAATCAGAAAGGAAAACAGATGGGAAGGCAGAGAGGCAGGGAGAACTGGGGAGGAGGACGGAAACAGCAAAAAATACCAAGGTTCAAAGGCAGGCAGCTCAGGAGAGAGAGCCGGTGCTATCTGTAAGGCTTGCATCTCTTCACATTCATGATCTCGGCTGGCCCGCCTGCCTCCCAGGGCGCTCAGTATTATTAGCCCATTTTGCAGATGACATAACTGAGGTTGGGAGATCACGCGGCCTGCCCAGTGATTCAGCTGCAAGGGCCGGGCCGGGGCGGACAGGAATGGGGGGCGGAGAGCGTGAGATGAAACCAGACAGCGAGTGGGGTCGGGACAGCCAGCCCCGGGAGGGGAGGCCGGGGAGCCGCACAGCAGCCCAGCCGCGCTCTTCCGCAGCGCGGAGCCCCCTCCTCGGCCGCAGCCAGACGGCCGGCTCGACGCTGGGGATCCCCCAAAGTGGCGAGGGGGCGGGGCCCGGAGTGCGGGCGGGCGGAGGCCCCCAGCCAGCACGTGCGAGCGGGGGAGACCCAGGGCGGGCTCACCACTCGCCCCTCCCCCTCCCCTCCCCTCCCCCTCCCCTCCCCCTCCCCCGCCGGCTCAAACAAAGGAGCCCCGGCGCGCGGCCCGGCTCAGGCGGCGCCGCGCAGAGGGCGAGTGGCGAGAGCGCGCACAGCCTGCAGCGCGCGGCCCGGCTCGGCGCTCTCCGGGTTCGGCCTGGCTACCTGGGGTTACTGGAGTTCCAGTAGATCGGGTGGCGGAGGCTGGAGCCCCCCCGCAGAGGGGAGCCGAGGAGCGCGGCCCAGAGGACGGTCCGCAGCAGGGGCAGCAGCCGCATCGCCCCGGGGTCCGGTCCGGTGTGGCCTGGCGGGACTCGGCCCGCTTCGCAGCCGAGGCGAGAAAGGTACAAAGTGGAGGGGGGGGGCTGCCGAAAGGGGGTGGGGTGCGGACACTCCGGCCACGCCCCCGGGTAACTTTCCACCAATGAGGGTGCGTCTCCGCCCCTCCATTCTGCGCCAACCCTTTAACCCTTGGGGCGCCGCCGCTGGCGTCAGGTTCGCGGGGCCAGCGCACCGCGAGGGGCGGGGCAGGGGCGCATTCCTCGGAGCGCTTTTAAAGGAATCGGTCTCGTCTTTCGAGTCCGCGTTAGTAAAAGGTAGAAAGACTTATTGGAAGTTGGGGCGGTGCACGGTGGCTGGAACCTGTAGTCTTAACTACTTGGGAGGCTGAAGCCGGAGGATCGTTAGAGCCCGAGTTCAAGACCAACCTAGGCGAGACTCTGTCTCAAAAAAAAAAAAAAAAAAGGGAGACTAAAACGGGAGACTGAGGCTCCGGTGAGGTTCCACGACGCGTGACCAGCCGCCTGCACACATTGCCCCTTTTCTTTGGACATCTAGGGAACAGTTCAAGGGGAGAACAAAGCCCCTTTCGGGACACCCTTGTTCCTAGGAGCCTTAGCTGGCTCGCCAGTTGCCCGCCTCGAGGTTGGCCCCTGGCCCTTACCACCCCACACCTTGGATCTGGAGGGGGCTCGAGCGGCCCCCGCCCCAACGACCGAGTGAAGAGGTGGCTGTGGCTGGTACAAAGCACCTTTGTTCTGCGCCCTCGGGTGGGGGCGGGGAGGGCGAGGAGGCAGGTGCTCGGGTTTGGGATCGGGAGAGCCTCGCCCCACTCCGCCCCGGCTCCAGGGCTCGGGAACACCAATTAGATCCACTTTCCCAGCCACTGGACGGAGGGTGGGGAAGCGAGTCTGACAGCTTGGCTGCTTTGCCGACAGCCGCTCCTGGGTGCCGGCCAGCGTTGGAGAACGGGGGGTGGCAATGCGCATTGCACAGAGGGGCCATCCCGGTCTGGACGAAACAAGCCGCAAACATCCCCAGATGCGCGCTACCGGACCCACTCGGGAACTACCGCTGACTCCCGCCCGCCATGGTCTGAAGAGGCAGCCCCCCTGGCGGCCAGACTCGGAACAGCAGCAGGGACGACCGGGCTTCCTGCAGCAAAGAAACTCGGAGGCTTTCTTCGAGCTCTCAAGACCTCACGTTTATTGCAGCCTCCCTGGCCCCGTCCAGTCCCAGCCTCTCCCCAGGCCCCGGCTGCAGCTACGATGGGGTGTCAGGGAGGTCCCCTTGGTGTTGCTTGACAGCCCGACGGCGTCCAGGCTCCGGCTCCTTCAGTCGTCCTGGAGGATTCCAGTGGGGACTGGGCTTCTTTAAGTCCTAAGTCCGAGTCGGAGGCAGCGGCGCCTCCGCAGGGGTCAGAGGTAGAGGGAGGACGCCGCTGGGGGCGGTGGCGCTGGCCTGGAGTCAGGAGGCCGAGAAGGTGGTCACAGGCCCCCTTCTCCGGATCCCTCGCCCCACCGTGCACCCCGGGACCCTCCTCACCTACCTGGAGGGGACCACCAAGGGCATGGCCACGGCCGCTGAGCCAGGCAGCTCACCCGAGGGGCGCCGGCCCTGGGGGTCTGCAGGGAGAGGCTTCCGTGGGGGTGGGGGCTTGGCAGGCCCCTGAGACTGAGGGAGAGAAGGAGGAGCCAGCTTGGGGAGCCGTTAGGGCGCCACCCCCGAAGCGCTGGCGCTGGGGAGCACCAGCTGTGGGGGCGGCACCTGGGCGCAGACTTGTCTCCAAACAAACCTGTCGCCATTAATGGCGCCACCAGCATAAGTGCTCAGAGGCACAGAGCGGGCCTCTCGCCACGGCCACCAGCACCACAGCCCTAAGCGGGGAGGCCGTGGCCTTCTCTCCCCACTGTTACCTTCGGGCGCCTCACCACCGGGTCAGCGGGCAGAGGGCGGGTGGGGGGATTGGGTCGGTCAGCCAGCTCAGCCTGGACAGAGAGACGGGCAGTGACGGTGAGAGCACAGCCAGGGGCCGCGTGCAGAGGCTCCCCGAAGGGTTGGGTAGCGCAGTCAGCCAAGCGGCAGGCGAGAATGGGGCATGCTCAGGGGCCGAGGTGCGCGCCAGCAGGTGCCTGGCGAGGAAGGTGTGGCTCAAGCGTGGAGTCCCTGGCCGGCTGCAGTCCCGCCGCTGACCACCAGATGGCGGCAGACACCAAGGCAGGAGGCTCACCCTTTGCGCCTGCTGGGGCTGTCGGAAGGCTGAGGGGCACCCTGGTTCACCTAATGACGATCACCACTGGCAGGGAGCAGGGACGAGAACGCAGTTGGGCACCAAGCTTCCCCCTGTCCCGGGCCAGGCGGGGCCCGGACCAGATTTACCTGGAGTCCCTTGGGCACAGGGTCAGGCGGCAGCGGCCTGGAGGGGGGGGCCGGGAAGCGGAGAGCCTCCTGAGAGGGCAGGAGCAGACAGCAGAGGGGCAGAGACAGACGCAGGCGTGGAGGGGTTAGTGGTGCCAGGCAGGGGCAGCCAAGGCCCGGGGCGGTGAGGGCAGGGCATGCACTGGCCAGCTGCGTGCAGGGGTGACTGGTGAGGCGGGCGTGCAGGCCACCCGACACACTCCTGTCACCAGAGCCAGAGGCTCCGGCCTAGGGCACTCACCAGCCCTGCAACACGCGGTGACCTGGTCTTGTCAGGTCCCAGCACACTGCGGCCTTAGCCCCCCTTGTCCCTTGCACGGGTCTCTCCAAGCTGCCAGCCCGGCTGCTGACAGGCTCAGCACGGCCTCCCTGGGTGACGGCCCCTCCCGCTCCAGGCTGTGTCTGTGCCTGTGCCTCTGCCAGCAGCCGGGGCAGGTGGGGGGCTGACTCCACTACTGACGCTGGGCAGTGCCAGCCTTTCCCTGACTAGAACTTCAGTGCCACCTTCCCTCAGGGCCCAAGCGGGACGCCAGGCAAGGTGGGGACCCTTTCCTCTGGCGTCCAGGACTCACCTTAGTGCCTGGCATCAGCTGGGCCCTCTGGGGGGCTCCTGGCTGTTCTGGGGGACTGGACTGGGCTGCCCTGAGCATGCGAAAGGCAAAGAGGACAGGAGCCCAGCCTCAGGCCCTTGGGGAAGCCATCCCTGCCTCTGGGGCAGGTCGACCCCATGTGGTGCTATGGAGAGCAGCTCTGTACGGTGTAGGTGTGGGCCAATCAGAGGTGGGGAGAGCCTGAGAGAGGGACCCTCTGCACTGGGCCTGAGGGAAATGGCCCCAGCACCCCAGCTGCCCCACAGGGTACACCTGGGGGGTGAAGGGTCACTGAACGCATACAGGGAAGGGAGGTGTGTGGTGGGGTCCGAGGAGCTTGGGGAAACATGGCAGGGGCTGCCCAGTTGAGGGTGGGCTGCAGAACTGTCCCCAGCTGAAGGCAATGGCAGCAGGGACGTGACACTCATACCTGTATTGGCAGCTGGACCCTTTGAGCTGGCAGAATCGCTGGTGCAGGCGGGCACGGTACCAGTAGCTGGCACCAAGTAGCATGAGGACCAGCACCAGTACGAGGCTGAGGAGCAGGCCTGTGGTCAGGGGGCTGGCTGCTGTGGGCAAGGTCAGGTTTGAAGGTGGGCCAGGCCAAGGAGGTAGCAGGGGCCAGGGCTGAGGGGAAGACTCGGAATGTGAAGGGTTTGGGGTCACAGCTGGGGAACGCAGACGCGAAGGGGTCAGGGGAGGGCTGCAGGAGCCCAAGAGTGGAGGAGGAGCCCTACCTCGCAGCGGGGTGGCACAGCCAGGGGGAGCCCAGCCCTCCTCACAGTGGCAGTTTCGGCTGCTGTCACAGACCTAGGGGACAGGGGTGCGCAAGGGCTCTGCACTTGGGGACTTCGTCAGGCTCCAGCTTTCCGAGGGATCAGATTTCCAAGACTGGACGGCACGTTGGGGGTGATGGGCTGACGGAACCAGACTGGAGAGGGTGTCTGTGCACTTCGGAGGAGATCAGAGCAAACTAACACCTCTGCAGAGGTGCCCGTCTGCGGGGCACTGGGCCAGGAGATTTCTGCACTCTTCTCAGAGACCCGAGGGAGTGGGCACTGTTACTGTGCCCATTTGGTGGGTGAGGAAACTGAGCTCGTGCCCAGGCCACACAGCCAGGGAGTGGCAGGGCCAGGGCTGCAGTGCAGGCCTGTCTCCACACCCCTTCCACGTCTCCCTGCTACCAGTTCTCACCCCATGCCCGTGGCATTTGCGTCGACATTCCTGTGCTCCCAGGAGATCCACGGGCTGGCACCGCCGGCTGACGCACACCTGTCCCAGGAGAGAGGGGAGCAAGGTCATCCCTCACGGAGCCCGGCTGGGCCTGGGACCCACGGCTCGGGGGCGATGACTGCTGTCTGCGGTCAGAGTGCAGCTTCCTGCAGACCTGCGTCTTCCACTCGGTGGGCAGTGGGGGCTGGGTGCTGCTTCCCTGCCCAGCTGGCCTTGTCCACCCAGGCTGCTCACCAGGCCAGGGCCACAGGTGGTGCCGGGCAAAGTCAGGAGGGGCTGGGCCACGTCACTGCCCAGGTCCAGGTGCACCCAGCTGCAGTTGAGCTGTGTCCCATTGGCTTCCAGGGTCTCCCAGAGCAGGTCTTGGACTGAGCCCAGCAGAGGCTTCGTCCTTCCCCCCTGGCACTGGAGCTGCCCACAAATGGCGTCTCTGGGGTACGGAGGGGCAGGGAGGGTTGGTGGGATCGGGCCAAGGTTCCCACAGACCCAGAGGCGGAGCCAGGCTTCCCACTCACCGGGGGGCGCAGGGCACATAGCTCCCATCGGGGCTGCGCCCACAGCTTCCGTAGGCATTGCCCCGCATGTTGGCCGTGTGGAGGCAAAGCGGGGTGGCGGGCTGGGCCCCAGGTCCCCAGAGCGACTGGCACTGCTGGGCATAGGAGGCACAGCGCCCGTGCATGCACACGGCCTGCCCACCCGCGCAGGGCTCACCGTCCCCCAGGCTGACATCAGGGGGGCACTGGGAGCTGTTTCCCAGGCAGGACTCGGGCAGGTCACAATCACCTCTGGGAGGGCGGCACTGCCAACCCGCTGGGCGCAGCTGTGGAGGTGGATGAGCAGCGGTGTGGGTAGTGGGCAAGGTCAGCTGCCTGTGGCTCACCCAGGCCCCCAGCGCGTGAGCTCCGCTGGTTGGTCAGGCCTCTGCCCACCTGGCACTCTTCACAACAGGGTCCGTCAGATGCACACTGTGCCCCTGGCCTCAGCTGGCAAGTGTCATGGTCGCAGCAGGGATCCGTGCAGTCCTATGAGTGAGGGCACCGAGGGGTGAGATTGGAGAGGGCCGGGCCTGAGAGCCCCAGCTCCAGCCCAGAGAGTAACCCAGAGAGGCTGCTCAAGGCCACCCACAAGCCAGAGCCTGGACTCTCCTAGGGGCTGTCCCCGCAGCCTGAGGGGTTCTTGGCAGGCGTGGGGGGAAGCTGTGGGTGAGGCTCACATCTGAGAAGCCACAGTCACACTGCTCGCCGGGGTCCACAAACATGTTTCCGCAGGAAGCATCCACAGAGGGCAGGCCGGGCAGTCTCTCAAAGAGGCAGCTGCCCATCCCCTCCAGGAGTGCCTTCTCCAAGGCCTGCCGGCTGCAGTTGCTGAAGTTCAGGCCTGGCAGGAAGCTGGGATGGCAGAGAAGGTTGGGCTGAGCACCTTCCTGGCCCACCACTTCCTCCCTCCTCTGTTCTGCAGTCACTCACTCTGTGGAGGCCTCCATGATGCAGCTCTTGGCGGGGGCTGGGCCTGGGCAGGGGCAGCCACTCCCGGGGGGAATGTGGCCCAGGCCCAGGCTGTGACCCAACTCGTGGGCAATAGAGGAAGCAACTCCCAGGATGCTGGTGGAGTGGTCCTGCCACGGGGGAGAGGGGTCCACGGTCTAGCTGCGGCCTGGCTCCACAGTGCCCAGCCCACCCCGACGGCTCAGTTCCGTCCTCAGCGAGATCTTGGGCACCCAGCGGGCACTGCCTCCCTTCTTAATCGCTTCTGAAGGGGGAGCAGGGTCCAGGCCTTGGGGTAGGGCTCCACCTCTGCCCCCCACTATGTGGCCCCTGGAGGCCACCTCTGTTCTTTGGGCCTCAGGGGACCCCACCCCTGAGGTCCCCCCTCAGGGGACCTCACAGGTGGAATGTGGAGACTGACAGCGGGCCATAGTGGGGGGTCCTTATGTCCCTCCGCCCTCCATACCCGCAGGTCTGCTGGTGACCGGCTCCACAGGGATGCCATGAATCAACGGCTCCACACCTGGGTGGAGCTGAGTCTGGCTGGGGAGGAGACCTGCACACAGCTCACCATGTTGACGCCTCCTGAGAAGTCCGGGGAACAGATGGAGTTCTGAACGGCCATGCCCACCGTGGGCCCGGAGAAGGGAGTATCACTGTGAAGAGAGGTCAAGCTCATGGCCCAAAGCCTTGGGACCAGGCCGCGGGGCCTGGACAGTGGAAGGGCACAGATGTGGCAGGACAGGGCTGGGCCGCGCCTTACGTCACCAGCTGGGCGCTGTCATGGGGCAGACGGGGCAGCAAGTCTGCCCGGCGCCAGCGGAGGAAGTTTTCCAGGGTGACAGCTGGGTCGGAGCTGACCTCCACCAGGTCCCGCTGGGTCCAGGCCTCCAGGCCCACGAGGGCCACCCGCACATTCAGAGGCTGGAAGAACTGGAAACAGCTGAGGCTCAGAGGGGGTCGCCCTGGCGGGGGCTGAGTGCCACCCAGCCACACTCACTGAGTCTAGCAGGTAGGCCGCCTCCAGGGTGCGGTTCAGCAGGCGCTGGAAGTCGGGGAACCTCCTGACCTGCGGGCGGGACAGGCTGCCATGAGCGGGCAGCAGCAGGTACAGTGCAGGGCGGGACCGCAGGGCCAGCTGACTCACCTCTGAGTGGTCAGCTACGATCACCAGCTCGATGACCTTGGTTTCAGTGACCACATCCCGCTTCTGCGGCAGACAAGGAGGAGGGAGTGTCAGGCAAACCCGCCTCAGCCAGCACCTGGGGCCAGGCTGTGTCCCCGCCTCCCTGCAGGCCACACCGGAGGGCGACCAGCCCATTTTACAGAGGATCCCAGAGAGCCAGCGAGGCCCAGGCCCTTCCCACAGTGGACCAAGAAGTACACTGTGAAGCTGGGAGTAGGCCCGAGTCCTCTGATTCCAAACTCGGAAATTTTCCAAATTTGAAAAGATGATGAATAATAGCTGACACTATCAAAAGCCATATGGTAGGCACAGTTCTAGGTACTTTACATATTTTTTTCACTTAATCCTCACAGCAGTCCTATAAAGTAATGGGTTGTTTTGTTTTTTTTTTGTACCGGGGATCGAACTGGGGTCCTTGAGCTTGTGCAGCAGGCGGCGAAACCACTGAGCTAAATCCGCGGCCCAAGGGTTTTTTTCTTTTGAGACAGGGTCTCACTGTGTAGCCCAGGCTGGCCTCAAACTCTCAGTGATCCTCCTGCCTCTGCCTCCCAAGTGCTGGGATTACAGGTGTGCACCACCACAGTTGGCCAAAATAGTGTTATTATTGCTATTTTATAAATTAGTAAATTGATTCCTGGTTGGTAATTTTTTTTTTTCTTTTTTGGTGCTGGGGATCAAACTCAGGACCTTGCGTTTGCGAGGCAGATGTGGCCCCACTGAGCTACATCCCCAGCAGTAACTATGTATTTTCTAGACCCAAGTTAGCTCTCTGCAAATGAGATCATAAAGCAGCTGAGGAGTTTGAGTTGCACACCCGGTTCTGGATTCTGGACGTGTCACCTGTTAGCAGCATGGCCTTGGGCAAGTCCCCCAACCTCCCGACAGCACCCCCTTCAAAGGCCTCTGGGAGAGCAGAGGAGCAGTGCTTGGCTCATGGAAAAGGCTCCTTTACTTGCTGCCGTCACTGTGAACTGAACCAAAGCCCGACCCTCCTGCCATCCCTCCTGACCCGGCGAGCGTGTTGCTGTCCCCTGGGAAGCTCTGGTGGAGCCTGAGTGGGCAGAGATGCAAACGAGCTCAGGGTGCAGGTGTGGCCTGGCCGGAGGAAATCTTGGATCCGGAAGACAATGGGAGGCCCCTGGAAGTCCCCAGGCCCCAGCTCCAGGGCATAGCTTCGCTGTGGGGACAGGACCACCAAGCCCCTAAGGAAAGAGACAGGAAGTGAGAGCATATTTCAACACCAGGCCTGTGTCCCCTCTCCACTGTCACGGACTGCACCTAGCATACCTGAGCCCAGAGCAGGTACAGAAGGAGGCCCAGGAGCCCACAAGGCCACACACCCTGCCCTGGTAGCAGCAGTTCTCCTGCAGCAGAGAAACAAGGGCCGTGTCAACTCTCCAGGCAGAGCAGCACTGAACCCAGGAGCCCACCTTGCTGGTAGAGACACAGTGTCCTCCCACTTGCTCCAAGGCTGTGCTTCCAGCTGCCCATTTCTCCTCTGCCCAAGCCAGAAGCAGGACAGGAGAGGGCCTGACTTACCAGAGCGTGTCCCTTGCTGACCACCCGAGTGCCATTGGGCTGGTACCATACCGCGGTTGTGTAGCCTGGGACCAGATCCCTGTGGAGTGGAGGAAAAGAAGGCAGTAGCAAGTTGCTTCCAGCCTGCGAAGGTAGAGGGGAGGCTGGGCGCCAGGTGACGGCCCAACCTCTCCATTTCCCAAGGCAGCAGAGCAAAGGGGCTGACCCACAGACTCTGCCAGGCTTTCTGGGTTTTAATCTGTTCTTTTTTTAACATACCCTTAGCTGTGTGATCTTGGGTAAGTTGTTTAGCCTCTTTGTGCCTTGACTTTGTCATGTGTAAAATGAGGACAATAATAAACATGATTTCTACTTTCCAGGGTTGTCATAGGGATTACGTGAGTGCAGGCACTTCGTACCTGGTGCGCAGTAAATACCGTACGACCTGTGGCAATGTGATTATTATTATTATTCCTGTCACCTCACCTGTCCTGCTGCAGCTCCAGGATGTGACTCTCACCGTCCAGCTCCAGTTTGACCTTCAGGGCCTCAGGCAAACTTGTCTGTGGGCACGAGAAGGTTTGTCACCTCTCTAGCTCTGCCTACACCCCTGCTGTCCCTGTCCAGAAGACCTCAGGCCCTTGGGAGAGCACCAGTGATTAGGTCATGGGGGGGGGGGCTCCCAAGGGAGGAGCCAGGAAACCCTGCCTGGCCTGGGGCATTGTTCTGGGGGTTGTGTGGGGAGGTCAAGGAAGGTGTCTGAGCCACCCCTTCTCGGCTTCCTGCCCAGAGAGGAAGCATCACAGAGGACCCAGCGCAGGCTCCAGCCCTTCCTCTGACTCAGCTGTAGAATGGGGGGGTTGTGAGGTCCTGACCTCTTCCAAATCCCCCCACTGAGAGAACAGAAGACGAGGAGAAAGGAGCAAGGGTGGCCTCAGATTCCTGTGTCTGCAGGTGGGTTGGGTGGGGCTGAGGCAGGCAGATGTGTGGAGGGGAGAGGGGGTAAGTGAAGCCAGGCGCTGGGGGTGGAGGAGAGGCCACCGGACCTGGATGGACCTGCTACGTCGAGGTCCATTTGCTGGCCCATCGGCCAAGCTTCGGCCTGGAGAGCCTGACTGTGCTGCTGAAGTGGAGAGAGGGAGGCTCACCTGAAGCATGTCTGCTAGGCTAGTCAGGGGGTGGTCCTGGAGGACTTGAGGCTCCAAGGGCCCACTCAAGGCCTTCTCTGGTCTGGCCTCCTGCTCCTTGGTGCCACCTGTGGGGTCTGAGGACATCCCAAGAGGATGCTGAGGGAACCATGCCAGGGCTGGTGTGGCAGCTCCCAGCACAGAGGGCTCCTCCTGAAGGCCTTGCATGTTGCATGGAGACTCAGCGGACACTACCAGGTGGAGAGCGCTGCTCTTCATGCGGCTTTCTACCCACCGAGCTGGCCTCCAGCCCCAGCCCCAGAGACAGAAGTCCAGCCTGCACCTTCCTTGTGCCCCTCTGGCCGATCCCAGGTTCTCTCAGGGAACCCAGGCCCATCAGGAACGCCTTCTCTAGGCCTGGGCGAAGCCTCGTGGCTGGGTGCCCACTCACATCCGAGATGCCGGGAACGCCCGTCTCTGGGTGAGCAGTGCAAACACCCCACCTCCCCACCACCCTCGTTCTGCTCCCGCTCCCCGAAGCTGCGCTTCCTCCCCAGCGACGCCCTCAGTGCCCCTCTGCTCCGGACACTCCACCCCTGCCTGCCCCATCCAGGCTCACGGCCCACGGCATCAGCGGCCCAAGACAGCAGCGGGAAGTGAAAGTCCTAGGAGGAGCTGGTGTCCAGCCTCCTTCCTGGCCGGTGCTCCGTCCTCGAGGCTCCTCCCAGGCCCTCCTGCCCAGCCAGGCCGCGGGGCGGCAGCACCGGGTGAGGGAGCCCGGTCGCCCGGCCCGGGATGAAGGGCTGGAAAGAACCCCTTGACTCAGGCCAAAGCCGTGCCCGGGGGGCCTGGCACCGGGTGGAGCCATCAGCTAGGCCCAGAGGAGCGCAGACGGCGGAATGGGGCTGGAGCTCATTGTAGCACTAGGCGGGCGCTGGCAGGCCCTTGGGGTCTGGCCCCCGAGCTTAAAAGCGCGGGGACAAGGCGGAGGACGACGACCGGCGGGGACGCCAGCAACCCTTCCCGTCGTCAGCGCCGGATCGCCAGGCCAGCCGCCCTAGGCCCGGGCAGCGCACCGGGCAGGCCTCACTCCGCGGGGCTCTCGATGCCCGCGGACCCTGTGCCGCGCCGACTCCCGGCACCTCTCCCCAGCTCGCCCCCACCCACCCCCGCCGGGAACTCACCTGTATTGGGGAGCGGCCGGGAGGACAGAGGGCTACCCGCGCCCAGGAACCCCAGGGCCCAGAGCAGGGCCAGCCGCATGGCAGCGGAGCCCTGCCCGTGGGGGCAGCAGGTGCTGGCGGGCGCGCAGAGCAGCCGCGGCCCCGGGTCGGCTCAGAGCTGCGCGGCGACCAGCGCCGCCGCCAGGCTCCGCCCACCCGCCCCTCCCTCCTGCCCACGAGCCCGGTCCCGCCCCGCGCTCCGCCCCGGAGCGGCCCCGCCCCGGGGCTCAGAGCCCGGCCCCGCCCACTCCTCCCGCGCGCGGCTCCGCGAGGTTCCGGACGACGGGGTCCGACCGGCTCGGGCGTCGCGCCTTGCCTGCCCTCGCCGGCCCGCATCCCTCCCGGGGGCTTCGCTGCCTTCCCGCCTCAGGTCCGTGGTCCGGCCCTGTGGGGTCAAGCGGCCGGCTCTCGGGCAGCGCCCTCGCCCCGACCCCCACGAAGCGCAGGCGGCGGGGCGAACTGGGCGCTTTATTGAGCGGGTAGCGGGCGGGGAGCGAACCGCGAGCCCTTCACTCGGCGTAGGCTGTGTCGTCGTTGCTGTCGCTGAAGGCGGAAGAGGAGAGCTCCTCGCGGGGCGTGCAGACCGGGCACCGCCGCCGCATGTCGTCCCAGCACGGCCGGCAGTACACGGCCTGGCAGGCTGGCGTGGGGCACGCGTGGGACTCGGGCGTCTCGCGGTCCTGGCACACCACGCAGCGCCGGCTCAGCCAGCGGCGCAGGACTGGGCAGCCGCGGTGCAAGGAGTCCACCAGGGCGGGGCGCTGCGGGGTGGCGTGGGTGGTTAGTGCCGTGGGAGAGGAGGGCCCCTGGACCCGCGCGTACTGACTTAGTCCCCGGTCCTGACAGCACCCACACATTGGAGGGGGGGAGGCTGACGGAGACCAGGAGAGCCTGGAGGACAGGGTGCTATGGAATGGCTTCTGAGGCCTCCTCCGCCTCCCTCCGCCGTGATCAGCGTGGGGACTGCCGCCCCCAGGCCCACCCTGGGGCAGCTGTCATCTGCCCTTGTGCCTCTCGGTGGGCCTGAGAAGTGAGTGAGGCGAGCACACAGGCTGCTGTCCCCAGCTGGTGCATGAGACGGTGAATCTCAGTGCCAGACACTCGAGCCTGGCCAGACCCAGGCGGCCGATTCCACATCACAAGCCTTGTCACTGTGCCCTCTGCCACACAGTTGCAAGGAGCCCTTCTTCACAGCCGCCTTAGCAGGTCACACTGCTCGTGAACCTGCAGGGCCCTTGCCCACCCAGCAAAAGCAGTGACTCCTGGCCTGGGCTTCAGGGCCTTCTGGCCTCTGTCCCTTCCCAGCCTGCCCCCCAACCCTGGGTCCTGCCTCTTCCGGGCAGCTGTCCTGGCCCGGCCCTCGATATTGGCCCTCCCTGCCACTCTGACTCTGCACACTTTGTCCCCTCCGCTTAGCATGCATGCCCCTCATGCCTCTTTCTACCCATTCAAATAGTTCACTTCAGGACCAGGCCAAGGAACCCTGGTATTTTGTTTTGCATTGGGCATTCACCCGTCCTCTATTGTGCGTCAGATGGATGGAGAAGTCCGGACATGGGAGAAAAAGTTAAGCAAACGGTATCACACTGTGAACTTCATTAGAGGTGATTAAATGGGAATGGCTGCCATTCGTCCCATTATGACGTCTATCCCTGTGCTAAGAGACTGTAGGTAAATCAATTCAGAAAACAATAGGGCCGGGGATTTAGCTCAGTGGTTTTGCCACCTGCTGCACAAGCGCAAGGACCCAAGTTCGATCCCTGGTACCAAAAAAAAGAAAACAACCCTATGGGCTGGGGGTGTGGAGCTCATACTTTTCCTGAGATCTTGGGTTCCATCCCAGCGCCATACATGCACACACACCCTAACCAAACACTGCAGATACTGTTCTTATCAGCATCTGTTTTTCAGGTGAGGACACTGATGATTGGAGAGGGGATCAGGGTTGTACAGTGGCGATACACACATATATAGAACTTTACTCTCATACGAGCACCAGGAAAGAAAACTCATTTCAGGGCCGGGGATGTAGCTCAGTGTTGCCGCGCCTGCCTTGCAAGTGTAAGGTCCCGAGTTCAATCCCCAGTACCAAAAAAGAAAAAAGAAAAAGAAAACTCATTTCATCCTCACAGTGAGGAGATGGAGTGGTTGGCCCCATCTTAGAGAAAGGAAACCAGGGCACAGCAGTTAAGGTGCTTAAGATCATACAGTTGTCACAGTAAGAGGAGGATCCAGGATTCGAACCCAGGGCTTCTGGTTTCTAGTGAGAGGGCCTTAGAGATCAGTCCAACCTCCTCAATCGGAGGAAGAAACTAACGCCCAGGGAGGACCGTGGCTGGGCTCACACCCTTAACAAGGGAGTGCGGACTGGAACTCTTCTTCCTGACCATGCCTAACTGGCATCTCGCTCCCCTCCTAGCTGCCCTGGTCTAGTCTGCAGTGCCCTCCGAGAATCTGTGGCTGTGCCATGGGCCCCTCTTTCTGATGAGCCCCTCTTGTTTCCCTTTGACCAGACTATGTTGTCGGTCCCCCTTTCTGCCCATTTCCTGATGGTCCACTGAGTTTCAGCCCGAGCCGAACACTGGGTGCAGGCGTGAACCCTGCCTGAGCTCTGGAGCTGGACGTCCAGGGCCCCTGGCTTGTGTTCAGCCAGACTGAGCTCTAGTGGCTGGGCCCACAGAGGAGTGGGTGATGCCCCTTCTCCGTAGTTCACGAAGGCCTGGACTTACCAGAGCCCTCTGCTGCTGGGCCCGCCTCACGATGGCAGCCCGCCTCAGCTTGGTGAAGGCTGCTCTCTTCCTCAGTAGCTCGTTGTAGAGGAACAGGATCCGCTTCTTCTCCCGCTGGGACAGAGAGGGCTGTTCAATCGCAGTGACAGGGAGCTGTGTGTGGGCAGGGGTGGGGCGCTCCGGGGCACACCTTGGGAAAGTAGAAGGCTACGATGACCCTCCGGAGCCGATAGCCGAAAGCCTGGGCCAGGCAGAGACACAGCAAGAGGCCGACGGGGAAAGTGGCCCTCCAGTAGGCCCTGGCATCCAGCCCCACTGGCTGGGGCAGGCAGGCTGGGTGGGCAAGCCTGTGAGCAGGCTGCTCAGGCAGCCCCGGCTGAGTCCCAAGCACCCCAGCGGGAGGTGGAGGGTAGACCTTGATTTCCCACTCTCCCTCTGCCTGCCTGCTGACTCTGCAGATCTGTGGGGCCAGGACTGCAGCCACCAGGCTTCAGGCAGAACACATCTCAAAAATTACCACGGCAGAAGGTTCTCTTGGAAGGCTTCAAGCCTCAGATGCCAAGGCCCCAGCCCCAGGCTTCTCTGACCCTAACTGGTCCCTGATATATTCCGGGCTCTGATTTCCCCAACTCAAACAGGCCAGCCCCCACTCTGCCACCAAGGCCTGCCCCCAACCCTTTACCATGGACTCCTCTGACACTTGCCCCAGCCTCAGTCTCTCTAAGCCAAGCGTTCAGGATCACTCACGCATGTTGTTTGATTCCACCCCTGTGTCTGAAGAGGTGTTCAGAGCCCCAATGGTCTTCCGAAGAAGCCGGGCGAGCATGGAGTCTCCCTCGACTCTCACCTCCAGTTTATGACTGCCTGTGACCCCATGGGTAGAAGAGTCAGGAAAGAGCTGGGGTTGAGAGGGGCAGGATGGAAGCTGGCAGTGGGGCGGGGTCGAGGTCAAGCCGGAGAAATAGGAATTCTCAGCTGGACCGGCCTTTCTTGGGTTTGGCTCAACCCTAACCCTCCCTGATGTAAAGGTCAAGGGTTACTGAAGTCCCCCATGACAGAGGCGGGACCTTGGGGAGGCGAGGTGGGGAGGGCTGTCACAGGAAGGGGTGCAGAGGGGAGACGGGAGGGTGCAGTGCGTGGGCCTGAGAGGGGCAGGGCTCACTGCGGAAGGAGTACTGCAGGAAGGAGTGTTGGCGGATGGTGTCGAAGACCGAGTAGAGCGCCCAGTCCAGCCCACAGAGCACCAGCAGAAGCAGCAGGATGGGCAGCGCCTCCAGGAGCTCCCGTGCCTGCAGAGAGCCCAGGCGTCTTGGCCTGCTGCCGCAGTCACACCCAGCCTGCCGGCCACACCATCCTCACCAGATTGCTTGTTTCTGAGGCCTGGATAGTAGGCTTGCAGGGGAAGATGAGGGCCTTCTTCTCAGCCTTGCGGAGCGGCAGCAGAGTCCGTTTGCCCTGGAGAAGCATCGTCCACAGAGGGACCCGAGGGCTCTGCCCTTCCCTCAGCCCTCCTGGAGCTCCAGACCACACAGGCACCCTTAGGCAGAGCTGTGCCCTCACCAGCTTCTTCCTGCGCTCATCGATCTGACAGAAGTAGGTGCTGATGTAGATGTTGTCAAAGCGAATGTCCTGGTTATAGCGGTCCATGTAGGAGAAGGACCTGGGAACAGGTGGTAGGCCATCTTCACTTCGAGGCAGGGTCTGCTCACCCACGGGCCATCAGCTCCTGGCCGCCATTCACGGCAGCCCCTGTCGGAGGCCCAGGGCCAGGCATGGCGACGACAAGGGCCCAAGCCTCCACCCTGCCTTCCAGCGGTGAGGCCATGCAGGGGCTTGCCAGTGCCAGAGGTGAGAGTGAGGGCTGAAGTTGGGCCAGGAGCCCCTTCAGACCGCATTTGGGGAGCTCCTTCCATGCTCGGCTCCTGCTCGGCCTCTCCAGGCCTGGCCTTCAGGCTCTCCTGCAGCACGGGCCAGGGGGCCAGTCCGCGCTGTGCTGAGCCATCTCCCCCTCCACAACAGGCACCCCTCCCTGGAGCACCACAGTGGTGTGTGTGTGTGTGTGTGTGTGTAGCCATCTTCCATGTGTTTCCCCAAGTCCCGCATAATGCTTCAGTTTCCTAAGGAAAAAATGTTAATTGTTGGAAATGTGTTGAAAACTGTAAAAATACATTAAATAAATTCTGTAAAGTGTGAAACATAAGTTCCAATACTCTTGGTTCTGAGACCCTGTAAAAATCCACATCTCTGCCTTCGAGAAAGTAATAACCGGGAATGCAAAGACGGACTGGGAGCGCCCCCTTGTGGAGAGACCTACTGCTGCCGAGCTGCGGCTTCCGCCCGCCTGGCTCCCTTGGTGAGCAGTAACCTGGGAGCAGAGCCTGGAAGTGGGCTTTGAATCTGACTCCTTCCTTCCCTCTCCAAGCTACCTCTGAGGCCATGGGACTTTTTCCTTTCCTCCTCCATCTCAGGCCATCTTCCTGTACTGCCCCACCACCTCCAGCTAGCCCTGATGATCCAGCCAGGCCTCCCCGGTCCGTCTTACAACTGCCTCAGCACAGGGCCTCCCTGCATGGCTTTCCAGGTCCTTCTGGCCATGCCCACTTTGGCCCACTGAGCTTCTCTCTCACCCTGAGACCCCAGGATACCACCCTGCTTTTCCTTGTCCATGGCTCCCCACTGCAGCCTTTCAGGGTCTGGGCATGGCACCTCATCAACTCCACCCTTGTCCCGACAGCCAGTCCACGTGTGGCCCTTGGACAGCTCTCTCACCACTCCAACTAGACCAGGAGTTTCTTGTGAGCAGGAGTGTGGTTCCATCCTCTTTCTCCTCCCGCAAGGCACACACACATCCACTCACTTGCAGTCACCTAGCCCCACAGATAGGGCGGACTGACCCAGGGCGGAGATGGCACGGAGATTCAGGGTCCACAAAGTCAGCGGAAAATGAAAGCAGACTGAGGCCCAGGCGGCCCCGCTGGATGTGGGCTGGGTGGAGTTGGGACTTTGTTCCGAATGGAAGGAAAGTAGCTGCCAACACAGCAGGCAGCAGGGTATAAAAGCAAAATCGAATGATAAAAATGGCACAAAGTCAGAGCCAAGGGGAAGATGGAGGGCAAGAAAAATCAAAAGTCAAAGCTAAATGTGAAAAAAAGCATTAGAATAAAGGCTGGAAGGAGGTAGATAAATGGAGACGGTTGCCCTTTTAAGATTATGGGAACCCAAGTAACATCTCTTCTTCCAAAATGTCCATGCGTCCTTTAACTTTGTGTAAAAAGCAAACCCAACTTAAGAAAAGGCCAAATGGGCTGGGGATTTAGCTCAGTGGTTCTGCCGCCTGCCTTGCAACTGCAAGGAACCAAGTTCGATTCCCGGTACCAAAAAAGAAAAGAAAAGAAAAGAAAAGGCCAAATTAAAGGCAAGTAGCATTGAGGTTCAGAGCTGGTGATGGGCTCTGCACTCCACCTCCCAGCCTCCCTGGGGCACCACCCAGTGGACAAGGGGGCGCTCACCCTCGCAGAACCAGCAGGAAGGTGCAGGACAGCAGCGTGTGCAGCAGCCCCAGGGCCCACTCCAGCCGGGCCTCTTGCTGCTCCACGTAGTTTCGCACCTCAGTGCTCACGTGCTCCCAGCTCGTGTTGAGGCCCAGCACCCCGGCCTGCTTTTCCTCCTGAGGGACATGCCTGCGCACTTAGGTGCCAGCCCAGGCACCCCACTCCTGTCCCCGGGGCCCCCGGGACCTTCAGAAGGTGTCACTCTGTCTGCTGACTCTCTTGTGCTGGTCCTGCTCCCTGTTCTACACCACCTCGCAGCATGACCCTTCCACCCTCGGGCTGGGCTGTCCCCCACACCCCTAGTCCCTAATGCCTCCTCTCCCTGCCACCTGTGCCCCAGCCTCCTACCTTGATGTCAATGTTGCCTGAAAATTCCCCGGCCAGGCTGCGAATAGACTGGTTGAGGGAATCATAGGTCTGCCCAAAGTTGCCTTCCACTGGGATACGGCTGCGGCACCAGACCTCCATCGCTGGGGACCACGGGACAGTCAGGCCCCTGCCTGGCAGCCTGCATTCCCCCAAACCCTGTCTCTTCACACTGCTCTTCCCCCCACCCCACCCCCCAGTACTGGGGTTTGAACCCAGAGCCTTTGCACTGAGCTGCATCCCAGCCCTTATTTTTTTAAATTTTGAGACAAGGTCTTGCTTAGTTACTGTTTTCCAGGCTGGGCTCGAACTCACAATTCTCCTAGTGTGCTGGGATTTCAGGCACATGCCATGAGGCCTGGCTTCATGCTGTCCTTCTGTCTCTCTGCCCATGACTTTCTACCCTAATGGCTTCCCCTCACCACTGTCTCGGGGGTCTTCCTCCAGAAGCAAGGCTTGATCTCTGCTCCCATTTTTTCAGCTGTCCCCAACTACAAGAAATGCTGACAAGGACCACCAGCATTTACAGAGCAGCTCCTTGTGTGGGGCTCTGCCACTTTCGGCACAGGCATCGTCCCTAGTCCTGAGCCACGTCCCATCACTGTGCCATGCTCTGATCAACGAGATGACGCTCAGTTTGCCGTCGCTCACCGGGGCCACACGACAGCCAGCAGATGCTGGGGTGCTGCGTCCAGAGCCTCGGCCCTCCTGCCCCTGGCTTTCCTGCCACATCTATCATGGTCCCCACTGACTTGGCTCCCTAAGCCGCTGCACCCCACCTTCCTGCCATTGTGCTGACCCTTGGTGATGCTGCAGAAGAACTTGAACTTCATCGGCAGGCAGAGCAAGTGGTTCAGGAGCGGGACCCAGACGCGCTGCACACACTGTTCATGCTTTCGGTCAAACCAGCGGTGGCAGCTGAGGATAGCCTGGTTCACCACGTCTATAGGAGAAAGTGATGGGGTCTGAGGCCCCTGCGCCCCTCCCTGGCCCTGGCCCTTGCCCTGCCCGGCCTGCCCTACCAGGGACCCCTCACGGGAACAGCGCAGCTTGGTCTTCAGCTCGAACATCTTCTGGGTTGACAGGTGAGGCCGAGTGCTGCGGGCTGTTTCCTCGGGGTCCATGGCGTCCTCAGGTGCGTAGCCGGCCTCGCTGCTCACCTGGGCATCCAGGTCCTCAAAGGCAGTGGAGATGTTCCGAGTCTCTGCGTTCAGGGCTTCTTTGCTGTCCTGGGTTGGAGAAACGGGGAGGAGGGCGGAGGGGAGGATGGACGCCTCGGAGCTGCTGCCCCCGCCCACCCTGGGGTCCTCCCCAGGCCTAAGGGAGCTGGGCCAGGGGCAGCCTCTCCCCTTCCATTCCTCCCACTCACAGTGTGGCTGTCACTGCTCCCCAGCTGTCAGGCTCCCCTACTGGCCCCCAGCTCCTCCTCTGACCTCCGAATCCTTCTAGTCAGTGGGCCCCAGGCCCGGGGTCTCACCCCAGGTCACTGTGCTGTCCGAATGTTTCCAACTCCAGAGCCTCAGCCCACCTCTCCAATGCTCCAATGCTCCCCTGGCAGCCAGAACCAGTCCTGGGCTCCCAAGGCCCAGGCCCCTCATGAGTGCCACCCACTCAGGCATGTGGCAATGTGTATGGGGTGTCTCCCACCAGCTGGGGGTGCTCTCCTGGCACCTGGTGCCCCGGGACCAGGGCATATTCTGCAAAGACTGCCGGTAGTGTCCCCACTGAGAAAACACATCCAGGGCCCCAGCTCCCAGCTCAAGTGAACGAGGCCCGGAGAGGGGTGGGCGGGCCTGGCCGTGCGGGTCCTGACCAGCAGGTCCTTGAACACTGCCCGGAGTGGGGCTGTGGAGACGCGCCAGGCCGAGCGGGTGTTGTTGATCTGCAGCTCCACAGTGCAGCCCAGCGACGCTACCACCTCATTGAGGTTGTGCCTCAGATTGGCCGCTGGCCCTGGAGGAGGAGGCCAGTGGTCATTTCTATGTTAATCCAGTATTTTTTCAAACCCTTCTCCGCATGCAGTGAACATCTTCTAGAACTGTACAGCGATGGGGCTGAATAAGCTTGTGAGAATTCTTTGCTTCCAACCCTGCACTTTCTCAGTGTAAACTGAGGAGGCACAAAGCTGGGGAGGTGCTCTCTTACGGACACACAGCAAACTGGAGCACCTGGGGTCAGACCCCACATTTTCCACCCAGGGTCACTGCATCAGGGGACTGACCACACTCAGGGACAGTCGACACACGCACCTGCATAGACAGCAGCCAGGGCGTATCCCAGGACAAACAGCCTGCCCTCTTTGCCCAGCATCTTGGGCACCAGCAGGAGGCTGGCACAGCGGATGTGAGGGGAGGTCCCCCAACCTATGGCCCCCAAACCTGCCAGGAGAGCCCAGGAGGCAGGTGGTGAGGCAAAGTGAGGAACTGGGCCTCACTTTGTGAGTGAGTTACCAGAGCCCCTGCCTGGACCCTGCGCCCCTCCCCAATTACACAGACTCAGACAGGCCTCCTGGACCATCCATTCATAGGTTCAACGGCCACTTTCAGGGTTCGACTGTGTGCCAGCATGGACTGGCATGGAGAGATGGGTACAAATGGAAGACTCATGGCCAGTGATTGGCGTATGCATGTGTGCGTGTGTCTAAGTGTGTGCCTTTGTGTTAGGGAAGACAGCCAACACTTCCCACATCCGGGCTGGATTCATTCTTCTCCCAAGTGATGAGGTAGTAGAGTGGGCAAGGGGAAAATTCTAGAAATAGGCTCCGCTGCTCAGGGGGGGTCCACGAGTTCAGAGCCCACCGCGACCTTCCCAGGGCTGGGACACCAGCTGCACTTGTGTCCCCCCTTGCCCTGAGTCATGGCCACACATACGTGGCAGCAGTTTCACGCGTGTCTCCCTGTGGTCTCTTCGAGGAGACTGAGCTCCTGGAAGCCATAACCCAGAAAGGGAGACAGACAAGTAAACAGATGACTACCACACTGTGTGCGTGGCACAGGGAGGCACTCCAGGGAGCTGGGAGCCGAGGCAGGCGTGGGGATTTGTGCAGGCAGAGGCGTGGCTGGGAGACCTGGGCACAGAGGTGACGCACCAACCTGGCCTGCCAGAGGAGCAAACACCGGGAGGTGCAGATGGCATCCAGGCCAAAGGAGCCCAGGCTGGTTAGGGAGACGAGACCATGACCCAGCCAGCTGTGGCTCCTTCCTCTTCCCCTGCTCCATCTCCTCTGAGTCCACCACCTCTCCCTGGGACCAGGATGTCTGTGGTCTGCATGGTGGCCCTGCTGGGGATGGAGCCCAGGGCCCTGCTTGTGCTAGGCATGCGCTCCACCACTGAGCCACGCCTCCAGGCCCTGGGGGTCTGGCCACTGCCTCCTCTCTCTGAGGTGACCTCATGCTCCAAGCGCCAGCCCCCCACCTGCCCCTCCTCCTGGCCAGCCACACCTCAGGCTGCAGGCGGAGCTCTCCTCCCTGACTCCTGGGCAGCAGCTCCACCCAGTCATACAGGTTTGCGGCCAACCCTGTCTGGTGCCACCCGGCAGTTTTTTCTGCCTTCTCTCTCGCTAACACAACTTGGGTTTTGTTCAAGGGCAACAGCCCAGTCCTGCCCCAGGCCTGGGGGGCAGTCTGGGTCTGTCTGAACCAACCATGGCGTTACAGGACTTTGGGAGCGACCTGTCCTGTGGTCTTGGCCTTCTGGCCTAAGACTCCAGCTGAGGACCATGGCTGACGGGGAGCCGCCCACATTCTGACAGGGCCCTGTGGAGCTCTGGGCGTCTGTGTGGGCTGAGCAAAGGGGCAGAAAGTCTCCCCTACGCCACCAGTTCACACAAGCGAACAGGAAATGTGGACTCTCTGGAAGGGGAGCCAAGTGGCCGGCATTGGCCGGCGCAGGAGTCTGTGGAGAGGATGGGTGGCCTATGTCGGTCAGAGAGCCCGGAGCCCCAGCCGGCGACGGTGACTGCCACCAGAAGCAGAAGCGGCATCACCGAGCAGCAGAGCCTGCCAGCCACCCTAGCCTTCCCTCCACGGAGCCCGCTTCTCCTCAGGCGGGGAGGGCTTGGCAGGCGAGGACTATGCCTTTCCTCTGGGACAAGTGGGCACTTCGGAAGGCATCGGGCCCGGGGCCGCCTCCGTGCCAGGCAGCCTGCCAGGGAGGGGCCCAGAGGCAGAGGGCGAGGGTGCACAGGAGCGAGGGCCCATCGCCGCCTACGGGAAACCAGGTGCTGAGGGCCACAGGGAGCCTCGGAAGGGCCAGGGGCGGCCAGCGGGGCTGAGCACCTGCCACGCGGACTCAGAAAGGGAAGGGACTAGAGAAGTGAGGAAGGCCAGGCCCTCTCCACACCAGGCCCTCAGCTGAGGACGGGGAGCAGGGCGAGAGGCCACGGGGAGGGAGACACCGGACACCGCACCAGAAAAGGTGCAAGGCTGGGACGCGAAGAGATGGGCTGCTCCGCCTCACGAGGCCGCGCCCACTGAGGGGAGGCTGGGTCCTGCTGAGGAGAACAGCCAGGAGGCGCAGGCTTGCGTGGAGGGACGCGATGGGGACCCCGTGTGATTACGCGGCCAGACGCGGCCAGAGAAAGCACTGCGTTCCGTGTCCGCCTCCCAGCTGAGCCTGTGGTGAGGGAACAAGGCGGGCCAGGCCTGAGAGAGGCTCGCGGGACAGCCCGGGAAGCGCCTGTTCCAGAAAGGGCCAATGAGAGTGCCTTGCTCTCCTGTCCGGTCTTTGACACTGTGTGAAAATGTGCCTGGAGTGCAAATCAAAACAGCGCTGACTCCTTCCTCCTGAAAGATCGGCCACCATCGAGGACAAAAAACAATCAAGGTGGGGGGGGGAGCAACCGCTAGGGAGGTGGGTGAGGAGGCTACCCGAGCACTAAAGCCAGAAAAGCCCGTGGGGCCAGCTGTGCCCCTTCCGGGTGTCTTCCTGAAAGTCAGTCCCCACGCTGCAATGACAAACGCATACCATGTTTACAGCTGCACAAATCTCAGTCGCTAAGTTAGGGAAGCGGCCTCTGTGTCCATGAGAAGGACGGCTAAAGAAAAAGCGGTGTTTACACAGCGGAGCACTGCTCTGCCATACAGATAAATCTGAGTCATTTACAGGAAAACGCACGGACCCTGGGACCGTGATGCCAAGTGAAATAAATCTAATAGGAAGAGACGTGATTCGCCGGGGATGCAGCTCAGTGGCACTGCGCCTGTCTTGCAAGCACAAGGTCCTGAGTTCAATCCCCGGTACCAAAAAGAGACAGCGAATGAAGATGTGTTATGCACCTGTGCCCACTCCCCAAGATGGAGGTAACCATTATGCCCTGCAAACATGGACTAATTAAAAAAATTTAAAAACAGGCTAGGCATGGTAACACATGCCCCAGTACTAGTACTTAGGAGGCTGAGGCAGGAGGCTCACCGTGAGTTCAAGTCCAGCCTGGGCTATATAGCAAGGCCCTGTCTCAAAAATACAAAAATAAAAACAAAAACACCAATTATAAAAAGAAAACAAAAAACAAGAAATGAATCAGACACAAGGTTAAATATCACATGGTTTCTCTAATAGGAGAAACCCAACATATAAATAATTTTTTTTTGATTTTTTGATACCAGAGATCGAACTCGGGACCTTGTGCTTGTGAGGCAGGTGCCAGAACCACTGAGCTAAATCCCTGGCCCTAAATAATTTAAAGACAAAAATAAAATAGAAGAGAGATAGAGCTAGGAATTTAGCTCAGTGGCACCACGGCTGGCTAGCAAGCACACAGGTCCTGAGTTTGATTCCTGGTATGGAAAAAATAAATTAAATAAATAAATAGATAAATAAGGAAAGAGAGATGGTAAGAAACAGGGAGGCTGACTCTGTGGAGGTGGGAAGGGTATCTGGAGAAGAAGGGAGAGAGGAGGGTGAGGGGAATAAAATGAACAGGATTCCGTATGTATCTGTCAACTCCCCAAAATGAATGTAATTATTAGATATTGCAAACATGCACTAAAAAGAAAGAAGATGTGATGCTTGGAATTGCTGCAGCCGTTTTGTGAACTGAAGTGGAGGGGTTGACAGGCTGCACTGCAGGTGGCAGAGAGAAAAGACAGAAGGAACCTTTTTGATGGGTTATTGAGCTATTGAATTATCAAAACCCAAAACCACCCCACTTGGATTTTTGTTCTCTGAGATAATAAACTTTCTCTATGGTTCAACCACTTTTAGGTGGGCTTTCTGATCTTGCAGCCAAAGGTCTCCATTCAAATCTCATCTTTGGGGCTGGGGATATAAATTACCGGCAAACACTCACCTCGCCTGTGAGGCCCTACATCTCCTGCCAGTCAGCTCCTCTGAGAAGCCTTCCCTAAGGGCTCATGCTGGCCCCAGCCACGTTTGATCGCTTCCTCTGTCCTCTGCCTCATAGGTTTCATACCACTCGCTGCCGTCAGAAATTCTCTCTCTGACTGTCCGCCTGTTTTGTGTTCTGGGGAAAGGATTGAACCCAGGGCCTTGTGCACGCTAGGCAGGTGCCCTCACCCAACTGGGAAGTGCTCTTGCTTATCTGTTGTTCATTATCTAACTTTCTCCCTGTTCCCTTCCAGTCAACTCCAAGAACCAGAGCTTGCTGACCGTGTCATGCTGTGACCTCAAGCAGCCGGTGAGGAAGGGCTGAATGAATGGATGGATGAGCTGAATTTCTCTGGAGAAGCAGAGAATGGACCAGAGAGGTCAGGGAGGGTGGTGGGGTTTGACTGTGGGGTGCCTCTTGAACTGGGGAGACTCACTGGAGACAAGGCCTGTGCCCTCTCCCCCTGGATTTCCCCTAAAGGCACAAAGTGCTGACCCACAGGATGACGGGGCCCTGACTCCTGGGCACCCAGCCTCGCGCACCCCAGCCTCGGGCTGGGACTCACCCACCAAGCCATACAACACCACCATCTTCTGCTCTTCATAGATGTTCATGGGGTTCACCAGGAGCTGAAAGAGACCTGAGGGCCCGGGTGAAGCTGAAGGTTTACAGCTCGGCCCAGCTGCGTCCAGCCGCTGCCCACCCAACCTTCTGCTTCCCCACTCACCTATGGCCAGGAGCCCCCCAGTGCCAGCCCCCAGCAGGAAGGCAGCGACAGGGAACTGGCCTGGCTGGCGCCACAGGAACCGGCAGCAGGGCTCCGGCAGCCCCCAGCTCAGCAGCGCCTGCAGAGCTGAAAGGGGATGGTTGAGCTCTCAGCCCGCCCTCTGCCTAGGGTGGGCTCACCAGGCTTAGGGACTTGCGGGGGATGGTGGCTGGGGGAAGCTGGAGGATGGTGGTGGGATCTCGGGGGGCCCTGGGGGAGAATAAGGGACCTTGAAGAAGTGGAACAGGAGTGAGGGAGAGAAGCCAGGCATGGCGGTGCACCCTGTAGTCCTAGCACTTGAGAGGCTGAGGCAGGAGGATCATTGGGAGTTCGAGGCCAGCCTGGGCTACACAGTGAGTTCAAGGTTAGCCTGAACTACATAGCCAGACCCTGTCTCAAAAAAAAAAGGAGGGGCCAGGGATTTAGCTCAGTGGTTTCGCCACCTGCTGTGCAAGCGCAAGGACCCGAGTTCGATCCCTGGTACCAAAACAAAAGGGCCAGGGACTTAGCCCAGTGGTTCCACTGCCTGCCTCTTAAGCGCAAGGTCCCGAGTTCGATCCCTGGTACCACACACAAAAAAAAAAGGAGCAAGAGAAGAGAGGAGGAAAGGAGGGTGTTCTGGGAGGGGCTTGGTGCCCAGCTCACTGGTGTGGGGTGCTTTCCCTCCTGGCAGCCTTGCTCTGCTCTGGGGCTGTTTAACATCTGGACATCTGTTCCCGGGAGCCCTCTCTGGTCCCAGCAGTCTCCTCAAGGCCTGGGCCATCCTGGGAGAGGAGGGGCCTGCCTCACTCGGCCTCTCTGCGCCTGTCTTTGGTCCCCCAGCCCTGAGAGGTTGAGGGGGTGAGACCACTCTCCTTTGCCGTCCTCGGAACAGGTGAGGGGTTCCGAGACACAAAGTCCATGCCCTCCGGAATCTCAGGGCAGGGCAAAGAATTCCAGGGCTCCAGAACCCTGTCTCCAGAGAGAGGCAGGCGTGTGGCGGAGGGGCCACGTGCAGAGCCATGGGGGATGTCGTGCTGGCCCTGGGGGCGGAGGAGCCTGGCTCTGCACGGGCCGTGGTCCGCAGTGCAGGTGGCTTCACCCTGGGCCTGTCCCTGGCCACAGCCTATGGGCTGCTGGAGCTGCTGGTGGAGGGGCACAGCCCCTGGGGCTGCCTGGTGGGCACCGTTACTTTGGCCACCTTCCTTAGCCTGGGCATGGCGTTCTCCCGCCAGATCCGAGCCACTGTCTTTCTGATGCTGCCCCAGGCCTTCTCCAGTAAGCCCGGCAGGCGGGTGGGGGTGGGCTGGTCCGGTGGCTGTCTGCAAGGGCCTGGCTGCCAGGTTTGGGGCTATCTCCCCAGGGCACGGCCGGATGCTGCTGCTGGTGGCCGCCTTTGGGCTGGTGCTCCAAGGGCCTTGTGCCAACACCCTGCGCAACTTCTCCCGGGCCAGTGAGGCTGTGGCCTGTGGGGCAGAGCTGGCCCTGAACCAGACTGCGGAGGTGCTAGAGCGGGCCCGGCAGCCCCTCGCCAGTAAGCCCGCTCTGTCTCCCACGGCCCTGGGCCCCCATCCTGCACGGCCTGGCACCCTTCGCCTCACCCCTGTGTCCTGACCTCGAAGCACCCAGCCTCGGAGAGACTTTGGGGCCCAGCCCAAACCTCGTGCCCTGCTCGCGGGTCTCTTCCGCTGCAGAGCCAGCACCCACAGGCCCCAGCCCCCTCTGCCCTCCCTCGCAGGGCCCTGGCGAGAATTGGGCCCTGGTGGAGCCTGCAGTGTCCCTGCCGCTTCTCACAGGTGCCCTGAGCAAGATTAAGGCTCTGGCCCAGAAGGCCAAAGTGGCGGCTGACCAGATCCGCAAGTTCTTCCGCTCCATCATGGATGGCGTGAAGCACGTGGGTGAGCCCGGTGCGCGGCCAGCTTTGGGGGTTCCAGCCTCACTCCTGTCCCCACCCGGCCTCCTGGGTGCTGACCCGGCCCAGCAGGGACCCACCTCAGGGCTCCCCCGCTCTGGGCGCCCACTGGTGTTCCCCATGCCCTGGAAAGGAGAGCCTGAGGGACTGTGGCCCTGGGCCCCAGCCCCACAACTGTCCCCAGCCAGGGCCCTGAGGAACGTGTGGTACTGGCTCCTCCACATCGGCGACGTCTGCAACGCGGAGCTGGGCAGCCCGCACTCCAAGTGTGCCCGGGTTTTTGATGACGCCAAAGACAACTGCATGAAGGTCATCCCGCAAGCCTACCACCTGTGCTATGTGCTCATGCCCTTCAAACTGGCGCTGTGCGGCCTTGCCAGCTGTGAGGAAGCCCAGGGCTGTGGCGCCGGGCGGCGGGGGGACCCTGGGGGCCCTGAGGCTGCTGGGCTCCGGGACGGAGGGCTGGGCGGCAGGCGGGCAAATGTGGCATGGGGCAACAGGAAGAGACCAAGAGGAGAAGCAGGAAGTCCTGCCCTCGGCCCCTCCGCCGGCCGACACTGCAGTCTGGCTTTTCAGTGGTCCAGGTGTTCTGCATCATCCCCAAGTACATCCAGCCCTTCCTGCACAAGACCATCGGCACCCGTGAGTGGCCCCAGCCCCGGTCAGGCCATAAACGAGAAGCAGAAGCAGGAAAGGGCAGCGTGGGCCAGAGGAGCCTGAGCAAAGCCCGGCTGAGAGTGGGAGCTGAGGTGGGACAGGCACGGGGCACACAGAGCCCACGGGCCTCTCCGGCGTGCCGGGCACAGTGCTGGGCCCCGAGCAGCGCTCTCCTCCCCCCAGGCCGCAGTGGGCCTGCGACCCCGTGAGCCCCAGGCTGGGACAGCCCCACGCCTGCCGCTGGGCCAGCTAACTCTCCTGTCACGCCTCCCACTGCCCAGCCATGCTGATGCTGATTGATCGGGTGCGTCGGGAGTTCGAGTTCAACATGACCGTTACCCACTACTTCTCTGTGGACCTCAGTGCCTCTCGCAGCCTCTCCCAAGTGGCTCTGGACCTCCACGAGGCCGTGAGCCTGAAGCTGCTCCGCTTCCGTGAGGCCCTGGCTCTGCTGGGCTACACCACACCTCTGCTGTTCGTACTTCTCTACCTCCAGTGAGCGCACCGTGGCGGCCGGGGCCAGGCGGGCCGGGAGTCCCACCCGGGCGCCAGAGGCCTCTGTGCACCTCTCTCTCTCCAGAGCCTTGTTTTACTGGTACGCCTACCTGAACTGGGACGATTTCGACAACGTCTACATCACCAGGCGCTTCCTGCGCATGGAGGCTGAGCGCTCCCTGGCCAGGCTGCCCACAGTGCTGCCGCTCAGCACCCATGAGGCCAGACATTACGTCCAGCCTGGTGAGGGGCCGTGGCCAGGGCTCCCCTCGGGCCCCTGCCTGACCCTCAGGGCCGCAGGCAGGGAGGGTCCCGCAGACCGGCTGGCTGCACCTCCAGCCACGGGTCTGGCACTGACCACAGACGCCCACCTTGCCCCGGTCCCCACAGCCTCTTTCCCATCTTCTGCAGGAGCAAGCGGCCCAGGACGGTGCCCGCTCAGGATCGGGGCCCAGTGGGTGGGACCGGGACTACCCCTAGATCACCCTGTGCCTAGGCTCCATCTTCCTGTCCCAATGGGAGCAGCTTTTCTACGTCCTGCAGCTCTTCAGCCTGATGCGCCACCTCGTGCTCATGCTGCTGCTGGTCCTCCTGGACTACACTGTCTTCTGGGTGCTGGACCTGGCCCGGTACCAGCTTCAGGGGGAGATCGTGGCCCGCAGTGAGTGCTCGCCACCCCCGCTTTCCAGAAGTCCCCACATCACTGCCACGCAACCTCTTCCAGCTCCATCCTCCGCCTGGCACACCTGTACCCAGGTCAAGGTCCTAACAATACAGAGCAACTGAGGCCAGGCATAGTAGCACACACCTGTGATTCCAGCACTGGGGAGGCTGAGGGAGGAGGATCCCTGCAAGTCCAAGGTCACATAGTGAGTTGGAGGACAGCCTGAACTACATAGCAATACCTTACCTCAAAAAGCCCCTCACCACAACACACACACACACAAAAACCAAAACCAAACAGAACCCCGGAAACAGAGGAAAGACACAGCTCTAGGTTAAACTGCTCTGGGTTCAAATCCTCACCCTGTCCTCTGTCAGGCAGTGACTTCAAGCAAGTTGTATATTTTCGATCCCCGGCACACACACACACAAAAAAGCAAGTTGTATAACCTCCCGGAGCTGCAGTTTGCTCATCTGAGCTATGGGATAAGGAAGGGGCGACTTCTCTGGGTCACTGTAAGGACAGGAGACTGCTGGGCACCTGCTAGACCACGATAAAGACTGCCACGGGCTATGGAGCAAACTGGCGTGACCACACCAGAAGTAGGGCTGAGAAAGTAAAAATCAAAGCCCTAAACCCAAAACAAACATCCAGTTAGTGCAATGCCTTCTTCACAGTCAGTACACAATGCTGCGTGGGTGTGTGTGTGGGTGTGGTTGTGGGCATTGAACCCAGGGCCTTCACACTGAGCTGTATCTCCAGCCCTTTTTTCTAAATTTTATTTTGAGACAGGGTCCCTCTACATTTCCTAGGGGCCTCAAATTTTTGCTCCTCCTGCCTCAGCCTCCCGAGTAGCCACGATTACAGACATGCACCACCACGCCCTACTCTGCCAATGCCTCCCAACAACGTGTTTCTGGGTGCCATAGGGTGGGGTGAATCTCAGATCTGGTGGCCTGGCCAGACACCAGTGCAGCCCAGCTGGACCAGGGAGCCAGTCCAAAGGCCCAGGACTGAGGCCAGGCCTCGGGGCACCTGAGGGTGCTTGGGCATGGGGCCTGGCTGAGGGCGTGGGCCATGCCTGTGGCCTGCACGGCCTGGGCTTCCACCAATGGACAGACTGCTCGTTTTCTTTCGGAGGAGCGGGTACCTGCATGCGTGCTGCTTACCCTGTGTCTTTGCTTCTTTTTCTTTTGTTTTTGTACCGGGGATTGAACTCGGGTCCTTGCGCTTGTGCGGCAGGCGGCGAAACCACTGAGCTCAATCCCCGGCCCCTACCCTGTGTCTTTCCACCAGGCCCCGTGTTAGTGTCCATAACCGTGGAAGGGACTGGATACACCGGAAACATCTACCGTGACCTGGTGTCAGCTTTTGATGTCCTGCAGCAGGGCAACGTCAGCATCTTGTCCCGGCGCTGCCTCTTGCGGCCCTCGGAGCCAGACTCCACCAGTTACACAGTCATTGGTGTGTTCACAGCCCCGGGCCAGGCCAGAGTGGGCAGCAGGGTGGCCAGTCAGGCCCTCGGCAGCACTCACCAGGCCTCTGTGCTGCAGGTGCCATGTACGGCCTGTGTGTCTTCGTGACGCTGTGTGGCGGCTACGTCAGCCGGCTTCGGCGGGTCATCTGCGCCTCCTACTACCCATCCCGCGAACAGGTGAGGGCCGATCACGCCAGCCCCTGCCCACCCCTGGGGCCGAGTAGGCTTTGGGGAGCTCAGAGCACCTGGGCAGCCCAGTTCTGTCTCCTCTGGCTGAACCCCAAAGCAAGCGACCTGAAGGGCAGGTCTCTGGGCCCACTCGGGGCAAGGCTTCCTGGCACACTGCTCACCTCCAGAGTCTGAAGACCAGGGGGACGGGGGCAGTGCTGGCATCTCGGGGGTGGAGGGAAATTCACCCTCTGTCTACTCGCTTGCTCATTGTTTGCTGAGCACCTACTGTATGTCTGTCACTGTGCTGGTCCCCGAGGACACCTGGATGAAGCAGCCAGGCTGGGACTCATCTAAGGGCAGGCCACAGTGGCCTTTAATGGGACATTACAATGGTCAAAAAAGAGCTCATATTAAGGAACAGATAAAGTGCTATGGAAGTCCAGAGGAGGGAGTGGGTAATTCTACCCAGGAAGGCCCGGAAGGCTTCCCAGAGGAGGGGCCCTTGAGTCAAGCCTGGGGGGATTTGTAGGAGTGGGAGAGGAGGAGAGGGCAGGGCTGCGGAGGCCTGAGGGGTGGATGAGCCAGGCCAGGGTGACTGCCCAGCAGGAAAGGATCTCCTACCTCTACAATGTGCTTCTGAGCCGCCGAGCTAACCCGCTGTCCACCCTGCGCCGCGCTGTGAGGCGCCGGACAGCTGACCAGGGCCACGTGAGTGCCCTCCAGGCGCTGGCCATCCGGTGAGTCCCTGTCCTCCCCCGGGGCTGTGGGGAGAGTGGACAGAAAACGAGCCAGTGCTGAGGGCCACTGTCCTCTGAGGCGACCAGAGCTCTGGCTGGAGAGGGTGCCCACCCCACACCCCAGAGGAGACCAGGACAGCACTGTGAGGAGCAGGTGTGAGGGGAGGATGGAAGGCAGGGCGCAGAGCAGTGCTGCTGGAGGCGGCAGGAGGCAGGCCCTGGTGCGGGCCCCGACAGCCTGGCTGCTCCCCTGTGTGGCACTCTTCTCAGGTGCCCATGGCTGAGACCACTTACCAGGCACCAGGCCTACTGCCTGGGCTGTGGGCAGCCGCCAGAGGACGGGGAGACGGACAGCTTTGTGTTCTGCAGTACCCCAGGGTGCCAAGGTGAGACCCGGGGTGTGTGGCCCCTCCCTGATGGCACATGCCAGCTCTACAGATGACTGTCAGCCTCTCCCCCACCTCTGTCCTTCCCTTCATGGCCATGCGTAGCCCATCTCCTCTGGGCTCTCCGTGGTTTTGCAGCTGTGAACAGGGTTTCTATGCAAGGACACTGGGGCAGCTCCGTAACACACACTGGACAGGGCTGTCCCTGGGGGTGCGGCAGGGAGGGAGGGGCTGGAAAGTAGGGAGCAGGGGATGGGGTGGGTAACTCAACTTTTCCTTCCCTCCTGCCTCCTGCAGGCCGCTACTGCCAGGACTGCTACCGCCTGCTGGGCAGCACCTGCTCCGTGTGTGCCGCTCCCCTCTCAGGCCAGGGGGACCTGGAGGAAGAGCTGTGAGTCCTTCCGAGGCCACTGCAGTCTGTGGGGGTGGTGGGAGTGGCCTCTGCAGGCCTGAGACAGGCTTCTCCAGGGACTCCAGCGACGAGGAAGGCCCCCGGCTCTGGCTGGCTGCCGGAAGGAGGGCCCCCGAGGAGGAGCCAATCATGTGGCAACAGCTCCAGGGAGCGCTGGACAGCAGCCACTCGGAGGAGTCTAGCTCTGGGCCCAGGTGAGGGCGCGGTCAGTCACAGGAGCCAGCAGGAAGCAAGGCTGTCGCCTTTGCAGCGGGCTTCGCGGCGCCTGGACCAGAGCTGGGGCTGAGCACAGAACTGAGGAGGGCAAGGAACAGGCACCGTGGGTGCCCATGCTGGTCCGAGCCGCCTGCAGGGGCTCCCTGTCACGCTGTGTAGAGGGCGCCCCACAGAGCAAGGACGCAGCTGTGCAGAGGGAACCCCAGTGCAGGAGAGACACGCTGCACTGCTGGAGGGGCATAGTAATGGCTTCAGAGAAGAAGGGAAAATGAGCCTGGTTTTGTGGCCACCTGAGTGTTGTCAGCTAAGTGCAGTAAAGTGTGGAGGCGAGGCCTTCGGGAGTTCAGAGAATGAGATACAGGGAGGCAGTAACACCTGGGGTGGGGGGGTGCTCAGGTGGACACCTCTGAGAATGTTGGGAGATGAGCTTGAAGTCGAGGTGGGAGTGACGGACACAGGCCTCACTCGCCGTTTGAGAATCAGGCTGGAAAGTGAAGTGTTCACACCTGTCTTTGAAGACTGTGAGCTGAAAAGGCAGAGTGGAGGCGGGAAAGGCTGGGACAGCCTGTGGTTCCAGGTCCTGAGGGGCCTGGGGTGCACGCTTGGCAGGTTGGGGCGGGAGGAGAAACAGCTGGTGGGGAGGGGACTGGCCCAGTGCGGGGCCTGAGACACTGTCCAGCTCAGGCGCCCGGGCGCAGGCGGAAGGAGCGAGCCTGGGGCTGGAGGTGCGCAGGCTGAGCCTGTGAGGACAGCTAGAGCATCCGGTGAGGGCACAGCAGCAGAGGGGTTCGGGCCCACCTGGGGAGTTCGTCACCTGAGAGGGAGGGAAGGTGGAGAACAGAGCATGAAAGGCTGTAAGGGAGCCCAATCACTGGTGTGTTGTGGGGAGGCTCCACACGCTGTGGAGGCCACAATCAGCTCAGGGCAGGTTGAGGGGTGGTCGGCAGAGAGCACTCAGGAAGAGGGGAGGTGTGCCCTGCTTCATGGCTGCCAGAAGTTTGATAATTCCTTTAAAATACTAACGGTAGGGGCCAGGGATGTAGCTCAGTGGTTCCGCCGCCTGCCTCGCAAGCGCAAAGACCCGAGTTTGATGCCCAGTACCAAAAAAACCCAAACAACAACATAAAAATACTAACTGTAGTTACGAACAGGAAGCTCAATGGTGAAGAGAGCTACACCCAAGAGTAGTCTGCTAGGGAACGGCATTAACAGATGTTTCTGTATCCAAGGACAGGAAGTGGAAAAGCAGGAGAGCATTGAAAAGGGAGGGGCTCTAGGCCAGGTGGACAAGGTGACCCTGGCTGGTGCCGGCTGGACAGGGTGGAGGGGGAGGAGGTCCTGGGCCAGAGCTGAGCCTCCCCAGCCCAGTGCCCCACTTTTTCGGGGGAGTGGGAGGCAAGGGCACCTTCCGAGCACGAAGGGGTGGCCGAGAGTGGCATAAAGGTCTCAGGAGTGGGTGGCGGAGGCCAAAACAGCTACCATGGGGAGTGTGCTCAGAAGTCAGCTGGGGAGAGAAGGCTTTCCAGCCTGTGTCAGAGGCCCAGGTGAAACCCTAACCCTAAGGGCTGTGCCAGTGTCTCCCCCTTTATGTGGTTTTCTTTGGCAAATGTGGCAGCAATGACTAGGGTAGGGCCAAGGGCGCTTTTCTGGGCAGGTCAGGGGAGAACAAGCTGAGAAGCGGGGTGTCTTCAGCTGGGTGTCTGAGACGACTGGCCTTGGGGAAGACAGGGAGCCTTGGCTCAGCAGCCTGGGGCCATGTCGTGCTGAGACGTCAGGCCAGGGCAGTGGTCAAGAGGAGCACTGGCCGGACAGGGGCTCGGAGCTCTGGGATGAGTCTTGCTGAGTGGCCGGGCTGAGGAGGACATCTGACGGGGGAGGCTGCCCAAGGTGAAGGTCTCTGGGGCCAAGCCGTGAAGGCCTAAGTCAGGGAATCAGGTCCTCCTGTGAGGAGGCTGCTGGGCCACCGAGCAGCCCAAGCCCAGTGCAGCACCCTCGGTGGATGGGGCAAGAGACACAGCGCCAGTGATACAGCTGCTGCCATAGCTAAGGGTGTTGCACGAACACCATGGGGCAGCTGGGAACAGAAGGCCGAGCTGCTCCGCTTGGGCCCTGTGTGTGACGGAAGCTGTCCCCGCGCACATTCCAGTGGGAGTGGGCTGCAGAGGTTTTTGATGAGCCCTGGGTGCAAAGGGAGGCAAAGGGTCCTTCTGGAGGTTCCTGGGGCCCAGGGAAGTGGAAAGGCCTGGTCAGCAGGCGGCAGCGGAGCCCTGAGCAAGGCCAGTGGTTTTGCCCTTACAGGCTGCGTGACCTCAGGCAAGTCACTGGCCACCTATCCCTGAGCACCCGCCTAAAGTCAGAAGTTATCTCCAGGCTGGGGCTCCTATGCCTCGGGGCAGGAGAGCAGGAGCTGCAGGGCAGGAGCGGAGGGGGCAGGGCAGGGGAGGACACACCTGTGAAAACATCGCCTCTCCTCCCTAGTGACCCAGACGAGGAGCCCTAGAAGAAGTGGCCGTGCCCCACCTGAAGCTGGCCCAGGACCTGCGCCCTCAGGGACCCCCTGCCCCTGCACCCTGCCCCTGCACCCTGCCCCAGCCTCAGCACTCTCCAACCCTGTCTCTCACCTCCCTCTCCTCGGGATCCTTCTCATCCGTCCCCAAAATAAAGGAACCAAAAGTGGACACAAGTGTGAATCTTAAATTATTATTTCTTCCTGTCGTTTACACCCGAGGTGGGGGGCAAGGCTAGGGGAAGAGAACAGGAGGGGGACGCCTCCTCCTAAGGCACTGACTGGGAAAGCCCGAGTAGGGAGAAGGGAGGCCACGCTGGCCACTCTCTGGGGCCAGGCCCCAGGTCTCCCGGCCCTGGGCTCCCTCGTCACCCAAATGCTCAAGTGAGGCCCAGGGCACCTGAACTCCCCTCCCGCCCCAATATATTACATCATCACTTTTTAAATAGATACCGGGACTGGTTCCACTAACCCCTCCCTGTGACCCCTCCCCACGGTTGGGGGTACCTGGGCAGCTGTGCAAATGGGCATGGGGTGCAGGGAAGGGGGGAGAGCACCGGCCCCTGGACCTGCCCCGTTTGAGGAGGAGGAGGGGCCTCCAGGCCAAGGAGGGAAAATAGTGCAAGGCGGAGCCCAGGCCGCAACGGGGGTCCAGCACCCAGCGAGGACGGGGTCGGGCCCCCCCACCCCAGCAGAATGGGGGAGTTAAAAATCTGAAACTAGATTTCAACAAGACAAACAGAAGGGGCTATGTACAGATGGGGTGGATTCAACCCTTCTCTTCGGGAGGTGAGCGCGTTCTCCGCCCCGCCGGCGGGCTCGGGGGTCTCGGGTGCAAGGACAGCCGCCGCCCGCGGGGGGCGCTCGCTCGCTCGCAGGCGCGCAGGGTCGGCCGCCAGGCGGCGCCGGGCTCCCCAACCCCTCGCCCGGTCCCACCCCGCCAGCCCCGGGCGGCGTGAGTCAGGGGCGGCCACGGTGCCGGCTGGCTCGCACCTGGGCGGGAGGCGGGGAGCAGAGTCGCACGGCCCGCCCTGCCCTCTGGCCCCAGGAGGGAGCGGCGGGAACAAGACATTCCCTGCCGGGGACAGGACACAGGGAGGACGGGCGGAGCCCCCAGGGGCGGTGAGCAGAACAGGCCGCCGCCCCCCAGGACCCCGTGACTCAGCGACAGGGCAGGGCGGGGCAGGGCGGAGGGGACCCTGGCTGCTTCCTTAGGGCGCAGCCGCCCCTCCCGGCCTGCAGGCGTCCACCTAGCTCTGCCCACCTACCCTTCCCTTCCCTCGCCCCGCCACCCCCTTTGCATAATTCGCCGCTGGGAAAAGGGAACAGAAACCAGGAAGGAGGGGTCTCGGAAGGGAGAGGCAGTCCTCCGCCCCTCCACAGCCGAAGCCCCCACGAGGCACGGGAGCAGGGGAAGGCTTTGGTCCCAAGTCCCGTGCCCAGAAACCCGCATAGCCGAAGTGGGCCCACAGACCAGAAATTCATCGTTGCTTCTGCTCCCCAGGAGCAGCTGGGGACGGGCCCAGCTTTACAACAGAGCTGTAAATGTATACATAATATAGCATGTATCACTCGTGGGGGCGAAGCGCCCCAATGCGGGAAGCCCCTGGCCCCAAACCCCCTCAGCTGCGAGCCGGAACGAGGCTGGGCCAAGGGGCTGCAAGTCTTCTTCCGCGCCCACTGCTCGGCGTGGCGGCCCCCTCCCTGCTCCGGCCCAGCCACGCGGGCCTCTCTAAGAGGACTCCACGGCAGCTTCGGCCTGGGGTGTGGTGGGCGCCCCCTCCTCCTCCTCATCATCCGGGGGCCCCGGGGTGGACACCGCGGGCCCCGAGGGGGCCGACTGCTCCCAGAATCGAGCCAGCGAGAGGCGGAAGGTGTCCAGGTGGCCGTTGGAGAGGTCGAGGCCGGCGGGGGAGGGCGAGGGCTGGTGCGGTGGCCCGTCGTCCTTGCGGCGCCTGCGGGTGCGCACCTCCAGACAGTTCTGGCCTTTGAGGTGGCGCTGCAGGTGGTCCTCCTTGGCGAAAGCCTTGTGGCACAGGTGGCACTCATAGGGCCGGTCCCCCGTGTGCAGGTGCATGTGGTTCTTGAGGTCGTAGCTGTGCAGGAAGCGGGCTGGGCAATGCGGGCAGGAATAGGGCCGCTCTCCCGTGTGCTTGCGCATGTGGATCTTCAGCTTGTCGTTCCTGGTGCGCAGGGCGGAGGGGCAAGGCTGCTGGTCAGGGTGGACCCGGCCCTGTCCCGCTCCCGCCTCTCAGCACTCCTGGTGCCATTCTTGCCCCGGAGCCCCTACCTCTCCTCCCGTTTCCTGGGCCTGGCCACTGTCACTTCCGCCTCCAGCGGGACCTCCTTGGGCACCAGGCCCCCACTTTCTCCTGTCACCCCCCCCACGGTCTCCAGGACCCCACACCCCTCAGCTCACACCCTGCCGCCCCTGCCTGCCGGGCCTCCCCGCTGGGGCTCACCTGGTGAAGCGGACGCCACAGACGTCACAGACGAAGGGCTTCTCACCCGTGTGGGTCCTCATGTGGCGTGGCAGTTTGCCTGCTCCATGGATGATCTTGTGGCAGACTGGACACTCCTGGGGCATCTGGGAGCGGCGCTTCCGAACCAGCTTGTCTGGGCCATCCAGGCCTGGTGCCAGGGCATCCTGGTGCAGGGAACTCAGGTAGGCCATGAGGTCAGGGTCGATGGCGTCCTCATCGGAGCCCAGCTCCTCGGGTGACAGTGGGGCCCCACCGCCCTGGGCCAGCCCGTAGGCTGGGGGATAAGCCAGCTCCTCCTCCTCCTCTTCAGCCTCATAGCCCTCGTAGCTCAGGGGCCCCTCAGGAGGCGAGGCAGTCCCTGGGGGGGGGCTGTAGCTGCTGCCCACTCTGCCCACTCCTTCCTCCTCGTAGGTCAGTGGATGGGTGGGCACTGCAGCTGGCACCTCGGGTGCCAGGTGGTTCGCCCGGGCCCCCTTGGTCTGCAGGAAAGCTTTTCGGGGCTTGCGGCTGCGACGGGCCACAGGCCGAGGCGGTGGCAGGGGTGGTGACACGAGGGGCGCCTGCAGAGGGCCATCTTCGCCATTGGGGACTCCCGAGGCCGTGGCGGTGGCAAAGGCCTCCAGGTACTGCCGGGCTCGCTCACAGTCGTCCTCATCCGGGCTGGGAGCTTCCAGCCCGCTGCCCTGCAGAATCTCCATGCAGGCGGCGATGACACAGGGGATCTCCAGCAGCCGGGCGGCCTGCAGCACAGCGGGCATGTTGGCGCTGCTGGTGGTCAGCGTGGCCGTGTAGGCAAATTCAAGCAGGGCCCCCAGAGCCTCTGGCCCTACGAAGTCCAGCTCACACACGCCGGCCCTGGCTCCCCCCGCAGCTGTGCCCCCGCCCCCTGCTCCCACGGCCCCGCCCCCACCCTCGGTGAAGAGCTTCTTGAAGTAGTGGCTGCAGGCGGCCAGCACAGCCCTGTGTGTGCGGTACTCGAGGCCCTGCGTCCGGATGGTGAGGTCGCAAAGGTGGCCCAGCTGGCGCTGCTCATTGAGGCAGCTCAGGAGCTCACTGCTGTGGTCTGGGAAGGGAATTCCAATCAGGTCGTCCTCGGGGCTTGCCATCTTCTCCTGCGGGGCAAGCAGAGGGGAGGTTAGGGGCACACTGCCCCGCAAGGTGGAAGGGACACCGACACTGGCTGACACGGGGCCGCCCGAAGCAGAGGCTCTTCTGCAGACTCTCACCCTAAGAGTGTGACACCACCCACTGCTCACACGAGGAAGCGTTCAGCTGGACAAAGTGACTTTCCGAGTCCCTGTCCACCACATCCCTGCACCAGCAAGTGCCCAGCAAGCGCCTCTGGGAGAACAGCAGCCCTCCCGCCTGGCCCTCCCCACCCTTCAAAAGCAGCTCGGGCTGGTCTAGGCCTCAGGAGCCCTGGCTGAAGGGCTCTGGTGGTCTTAGCAGTGGCCTTAGTTCATCTGGAAACTGGACAACCGCCTTTGTGATGGGGCCTCTCATGGTTCAAGAGAGCTCAGGCTCACGCTGGACCAGGGCCTGCTGGAAGCAGCAGCTGGTGGCGTATGAGGACGCTGTAAGACACAGAGCTAACGAGAGGACTCTCCGGGCACCGTCCTCTCTCCGTACCACCAAAAGGGCATCTCCCCTTTAGACACCCCTTCACGAGGCCAAAGGGGAAACAGCTCCCACACCCCTTCCCCCACATCCTCCCCACCCCCAAGGGGCCAAGGAGCAGCCACCTTTGCTGGGGTGTCACTAGCGAAGGTGCTTCCTGCCCCGCAGATAAGCATCGCCCCCACCCCTCCCCTACTGCCATAGGCCAAGCTCCAGTCCCACTCCTCCCCCAGCTACCAGCCCCCCATTCCAGGACAGCGCTCCCCCCAGGGCCCAGGCAGAGAAGCCCAGAGCAGCAGCAGCACCCAGGGCGGTGGGGTGGGGGCAGGGTTTGTGGTGACTCTGGCCTGGAAGTGGGGAGACTGGCTCCAGTCCTGGCTCTGCTTGTATCTTGCCAAATGACCTTGGGCAAGTCATTTCTCCCTCAGCTGCACCAGGAGGGGTGGGAGTAGAAGCCCTGAGGGTTCAGCCCTGACACTGTGTGGGTGCGGAGTAGCTGGGGACTTTTGGTTGGGCTCCGGAAGAGTTAGGTTCTAGGGTCAGCCAGGCTTGAGTCTGAATCCTTGCTCTGCCACAGATTAGCTCTGTGACCTTAAGCAAGTGACTTAATCTTCAAGCCTCTTTTCCTCATCTTGTAATATGGGAGAATTCCAGTTGACTCCTGGAGTTGTGGTTAAGGGTGAATGAGCCCAAGGAGGACACAGCTTTGCCTAACACCCAGCAGGGGTCCAGTAAGTGGTCCGCCTGCCTCAGTCTGGCCCAGGGCAGATTCCACCACCAGGCAGGGCCTCCCTCCCTCCAGTTACCCTGAGGGAGCCTGGTTACTAGGCTCTACCTGACCTGGGACAAGTCACTTCCCTCGAAGAGAAGGCCTGCTCTTCGTCTGTAATATTAAACGCTGTCCAGATGCTCTAAGGACAACTGTCAGTGTCCTCTCTGACGTGCCAGCCACTGTTCAGGCCCAGCCATTGATGGGGAAAGGTTTTGTGAAGGTGGGGGAGTCGAGGGCCACAGATTTCCTCTTGGGGACACAGAACAGCATTGTCTCTGTCCGCCTCTGCCTGCCACCTTCACTGCAGCTCCAGGACTCCTGCACGGAGGCCTTGAGAGAGCAGCCCCCACGTGTCTGTCTGTGCCGGGAAGCCACACCTGGTACCTCCTCTGGCCAGGCCACCCATTCCCACCTCAGGTCCCCAGGCCACCTCCCTCCCTGGGCTGAGCAGTCTGGGAGAGCGCCCTGCTCCTGTTGGGTCTCCTCCCTGTACTTTACAAATGGCACAAGTGGCAAATGGCCCCAGGACTTAGGAACAAACAAAAGCCAGCAGCAGTGGCAGCACGGGCCACCTAAGCAACAGTGGGCAACCTCCTGGGCCCAAGTGAGTCCTGTCCCTCCCAGGCGCCGGCTGGGGCTGCCTTTGCTGTCCATTGGCTAGGAGATGGGCACCCGCAGGCATGAGGCTCAACCCAGCCCTCTCTCGGCTTCCCTACCCACCCCACCCATTCCCGCTGCTAAGCCCGCCTCCTTTCTCCCACCCTGGCCTGTCTCCCTGGCAACTTGGTGTGGCAGGGGTGCTGATTGGCTCACCCTGCTGTCAGGTCACAGACTCAGGCTGGTGCAACTCACAGAGGGCTCCAGTAAGGGTGGGTGTTTAATCCCTCAGGCCCAAATACAATGCCCAAGGCCAAGAGGTAGCAAGGAAGGAGAGGGAGAGGCAAGGGCAGGAAAGGAGGAGGGGTGCTCCTTTGCCCCCCAGGTTCTGGGAAACCTCCCCAGCCCTTACCCAGGGCTCTAGCATCCATGCCAGCAGTGGTGCCACTGGGAACTATGCTGGTGCCAGCCAGGCCAAGGGGGCACTGCCAGGCCCATCATCTGGGAGGGGAGGGGTGGTCTCCCCTTCTTTGAGCCAGGGTGCAGCCATGGTGTCAGGGTGCCCGCCCCACCTGTGCACGCTTCCCTCTTCTGCATCCCAGAGGCCCAGTCCCGGATGGCCCATGAAGGCGGCCCATCCCCACCCAGCCTGGCATGCCCCCTCTTGCTAAGACCTCGTGGGCATGGGCGTGTGTGGTAGTTGGGGGCAGCTGTGCCAAGGAACCAGGCAAGGTCTGTTTGGTCTGTTTGCCTGGTAGGGGGAAGAACTGGGGGCCCCGCCCCATCGCTCCCCTCTTTCCCGCCACCCCCCAGGCTCCCCTCACAGTCAGGCCTGCTAGACCGGCCAAGCCGGTGGGCAGCTCTCTTGAAACTGGGCCCTGAGTCAAGCCTGCCCATCTGTGGCTAGGGAAGGCTCAAGGGTGAGAAAGGTGGGAGAGGATGAAGGTGAAGGTCCCTGTCGCCTGGGCCTCGGTGCCCAAAGGCACCTGCCAAGGTGGGTCCACCACCAAGAGACCCAAGGGCAGAAGGCACTGGCCATCTCGGAAAGAAGAAAGACACCCGTGCAGCCCTTTCCCAGGTGCTGACCTCAGGCAGCGTCCAGAGCTGGGTGGGGGCCGCCAGGGCCAACACTGCTGGCCTGAGGCAGCTGAAGGGCAGGGATAGGAGGCCCTGAACAGGGTGGCTGGGTAAAGCTGGCCCCTGCCCCCACCCCGGGGATTAGGGGGTGAGGCTCAGTGCGGGGGGCAGCAGGCGGAACCAGGATTAGCAGTGGAGAAAATAGCTATGGGCCGAGACACAGGCACAGGGCACCCCAAGGCTCCAGGGCCCCACTCGAGCTGTGCCCAGCCTGAGCGGGACGGGCCTGGCTTCTCTGGAGCAGCAGCTTGGCTGAGGGAGGAGGAGGCCCGGGCTGTGGCTGCTCCTGCAAGGCTGATGGACAGGCCAAACTCTTCACTGTGCGCCTGGCGCCCTGCAGCTGCCCACCCACCTTTGCTTCTTTCTTCTCTTCACCCCCACCCCACCCCAACTCCAGCCTCAGGTTCTCTTCCTGTTTTGTGGAGCTAAGTTTGCACGAAGCCAAGGCTTTGGCCTGTGGCTGGACCAGGGGGTGGGGAAGTTGGTAGCCAGTCTGGAGTCCTCGGGGACCCAGGAATCCTTGTTCCCTGCTCCGCCACCCCTTCCCAGGGCCTCTGGGACTGAGGCGCTGCAGTCATCTGGACGGCCCAGTTCAGGGCAGAGTGAAGGGCTGGGCCACAGGTCACTTTGGGATTGCGAGGGCTTCCCAGAAGTCTCCTGGCTGGTCGGGGTGCCCGAGCCACCCCGGGAGCCCTCCTCCTACCCCACAGCCCCTCCAAGCTTGTGTGTGCCTTCCCCATCCCCCATGTGACGCTCCCCCTAACCTCACCACCCCCAGCACTCACACTTCCTGGGGGCCGAGGCGGGGAAGAGAGACCGCAAGCCGCGAAGGGGGAAGGAGGCAGGGGAGTTGGCTGCTTCCCGGTGCCCTGGGGGTTAAGCCTCCCCCCTGAGGTCCCCGATTCCCCCGATCCTGGTCAGGGGCTCCTGCATGAGGGAGACCTCACTGCTTCTTCGTGTTTCCTGCTATGACACCACCCTTGGCCCGCAGCACCTTAGCCCCTTCAAGGGAAAGAGCAGGAAGAGAAAAGGTGGCGGGGATGGGATGAGGGCGGGTCTCCCTCTGGCCCTCACCCTCCACACCAGGTGCCCCTGCCCCGATGCCCATCAGCCATCCCCACTCCGGGCCCTTTTCTCGGACTCCTCTTTCTGTCCCCTCCCTACTTTCCTGTCCCTTGTCTCCCCTCCATTCGATCCACCCTTTGCTTTCCTCCTTCGGCCTTTGCGGGGCCCTCATCTCTCCTCTTCGATCAGTTTCCAGGCCTGCTAAAGCCATCCCTGCCTCTGCGTTCGTTCTCGCCTCTTCACTTGGCTCTCTCACTCAGGCCTCTCCCACTTCTCATCGGCTCCCTGCCCCTAGCATCCCTTCTTCTCTCTCTGGGAATGTGTGGAGAAGAGAGGGCAGAGGAACGAAACCAAGGGCCTTGCCTTCGAGGCCTGGTCCTGCCAAGTCACAGCTGCACTTCGAGAACTCACTCTCCTGGATGGAGCAGGGGACCAAGATTTGGGGGCCAGCTGGGGAGAATAAATGGCGGAGGGGGTATGCAGAGACAGCGGATGTGGGGTGCGGGGACAACCAGTGCCTCCGCCTGTCAGAGTTTCCAGCCCTGGAGCGGCTGGACTTTCCCCACAGGGTGCCCACCGAGGCACAGGCAGCTGCCCACCGGACAGACCCTGCGCGTCAGGGTTCCCAGTAGGGAACCCTGCCAGGGCCATGCCGGCTCCCCTCAGGGCCAGAGGAGTCAGCGCAAGGTGCCAGGGTCTGCCCTGTGCCCCCTCCCCCAGCCTGGTGTCTGGCTGGGTAACCGAGCTGCCTGGTAACCCCACACCCGCCAAGCCCGGGCAGAAACCTGAGCCCCCCAGCCCCGGAGGACACCCCAGCCCAGTCCCCGGAGCCCGGCTCCCTGCCAGCCTGCCCAAGCTCCTGGGCTGGCCTAGCACTCGCTCGGCCTGTAGGCCCTTCTTCTATTTCTCTTACTCCTCCTGGGT